TTCAGGATCTCAAATCAATATAAGCTGTTCCCTTTCTGCCTTGATTTTCAAATGTTTGTTGAATCAGTCCTGCTGTGGGTCTTCACATCATCTATTTACATATTTGTGCTTTTTTATTATTATTATTCTTAAATATGCTCAGAAACATTAACCAAAGAAGGTGAAATATAATAATTCAGTGCAGTAAGAGTAATGACATTTCAAAGCAAATAAGCCTTAAAACAACTGAAAGTAATTAAAATAACCTGTGGTAGGTTCATACGTACAAAAAATGCCAATTTTGAATAATGTGCTAGGTGATGGAGCATGAACAGTGAGGGTGTATGCCCAGTTAAGCAGCCAGATGGAAGTGGATTTGTCCTTCCTATTAATGAAGCATGCTCATCAAATAGAAGGTAAGAACCCAGACATACAGGATTCCTTCTGGTTTGTATTGTGAAGTGAGAACAAAGGACACAGTGTTATAGCAGAGATAAACTACAAAAGCAGCCAACTATAAATAGACTGTTAGCGCTGTGAGCTTCCAAAAACAACAAGATGGAGATTAGAGGAAGGCGTTGAAGAATTAAGGGTTCACATCCAAAAAACCAACAACCAAATGCAAAAAAAAAAAAAAAAAAAAGCCACCACAAACAAAACTGATCTAATTTCCAGGCAGGAGTTGAGGCAAGTATAGCCCAAGAGAGAAGGCAAGTAGTAATTCACAGCTGCCCGATAACAGTGGTACTTTTTTTTTTTTGGAGGTTTTCATTCTTATCTCTAGAAATATCCTTGCTTGTTGCACTGTATGAAGTAACCCTTGTTTAACTCAGGCTTCCTTATTTTGTGACTGAAAAAAACATTTAAAGTTATTAGCAAGGTTCTGCCAAGCATACTCTGGAATTACAGCATACTTACTTGAAGAGGGAGATAGTGCAGCTCCTCTACTGGTCTCCAGTGCTTAGAGAGATGCAGGCGTTTGCTGTTTCCTGAGTAGCATTAAAGTCAGTGAGGCACAAACCCTCCCTATCAGAGGGGTATCTGAATACCTAGAACCTCATGCTCTCCAGAAGATGACAGGTGCAGCGTACAGCTGTTGTGGTGCAGCCAGCCATCCAGGCCTTGGTACCTGAACTCCCACTCTCTGCACTGAGGCAGCAGAATGTGAGGATGGTCTTTGGCTGTAAGGTAGAGGATGTTTTCCTGCTTTGCTCTAACCTTTTTGCTTATACATGCTCAAAATAAATATAAATATGGTCCATAAACATGGGCTGTCTCAGTTGTGATCACTGCTCTCTCCCTCTCTTGTGTGTGCGTCTTTGTTCCTCTTTTACTTTTCCCTTCATGCTTTGTTTTTTCTTTCTCACTTGGACTTTCCCATTTCTCCCTGTGTCCCTATCTTTCTCTGCTATTTCAGCTGCTGTGCTAGTGATGAGTACAGATCCCCCTTGTTGTTGTGCTCTATAATTCCTAGAACTACATTTATGTCTATTTGTTCTTGGAACCAGATAGTAAAAATAGTCTAACAGCCATGGAAATAGTGAGGGAGATGTACATTGCTTTCATGGATTGCCAAAAGGTGGAAACCCCGTTGCTTGATATTGACTTTTCCCATGTCTCAAAGCTAGCCTGCAGCTAACTAAGTTGATCTTGGAGGCCTGGGAAAGGACATGCTCCACTGAGTAGAGTTGCACCTCTTGGAAAGAGAGAGAAAATCTGAAAGAAAAATATTTGAGAGAGAAAAGATAGAAGTGGGTAGTGAGGAAAAAGAAAGCTTGATAAAATGTAAGGAAAAAAAGCCAAAAAAAACCCTACCCCAAACCAGACAAAAGAGCTGTCAGAGAAAATGCTGCATGTAAGCTAGTATCCTGACTTGGAATGTGATTGTACACGTGTAGGAGAGGGGGACGTAAACATCTATAACTGCCCCCCAAAGGAGATCTCACTCTGATCTCAAGGAATCCACTATTTTATCTCCAGGATTGAAGTCTTGTATTTTTTCCATCCTGGTTTCTTAATGAGATGTATGAGCAAGATGTTACCAAGAGCTCTATGAACATGCAGTATTTATGGGGCTGTAGTTAAGGTTCTTCACTTCAGCATGGAAGAGCAATGATTTCAGCACAGAACCTCTGCAGCTGGCTCTCAGAGGTGGGGGTGAAGTGACTGGAGAGAAATTAAGAAGGGTCCTGTGATCTTCTGCTTTGAACTGAGCTTTGCCACTAAGATATTCTCATTGTAATATGAGCTACTGCTACTGAGTTCGTCACCATGGACTCTGCTGTGAAGTCACCAGGTAATGGAGGTACAGACAGTCTGCTGCAGCAGAAGGGCTGCCCCTTTTCCTGGCATGGAGGGCTGAAGAAAAGATTGGTGTGGGCAGTCTTCTTGCCTTAGAATGGGGTGATACTGATGGATTTACACTTCTGTTGCTTTGGGCTACCTCATCTATAGCAGATTTGTATGGGAGACAAACATTTGGGAGTATGAAGCAGCGTCATGAAGTTGCATAATGAGCAGGGTGGATGATGGTTGCCTGAACTCATTCCAAGGCCCTCTTTTATTTGGCATGTCTATAGGACGTATTTTTCTGTATAATTTAATCACAGAAACAATGCTATAATCTGTGATTGTGTCCTAAGGTGTCTGCATATTCAATGATGTCACTGCTATATTGCTTACATTGTCCCAGAGCATATCAAGGTTTTTAAGTTTCTCTGAAGCACTGGTTAGTTATCGGTGGTGTTATACTAAAACTGGAACTTTCTAGGATTTGACCAGAGTAAGTATTGATCCAAGTCCTTTATGGTGTCACCCAGGCATGTATAAGTAGTATTCTAGAGCCATAAGTAGGCAGGGTGTGTATGTCTTCTCCTCTAGACTACATAGTTTTCATTCTGTTTCTGAAATAGCTGTGACATTTAGGGATCTAAAGACAGCTCCAAACAAAGATGCTTGTGTTTGTAATTTAGCTGTACTTCCATATCTCTTTCTCCTCTGCTCCCCTTTCATCACTGCTTCTGCCTTTGCTCTTTCCCTGGCTTGCTGCCCTCCCACCTTCCCCCTCCCTCTTTTTTTGTTCACTATTCCACATCTATTTTTTCTGCTTCTATCATCTTCACCAGTCAACATCTTCCTCGGCTATGTATTTCCTTGCATATCTCTCAGTATTAAAGAGCACTGTTTATTTTATTATATGCAGAGGACAAAATGCTTGAAATGCTAATTTGACTCCAAGACTGTCCACAAAGAAGAGTTGAAGGCATTCTCTAAAGAGGGTACGCTTGCAGGCTTTATATACAAACCCATCATCTTCTTGACCTCAAATATGTTCAGCTCTTCCAGTTCATGAAGTTGAAGTTCCAGGAAAGCCTCGGAAAAAATGGGAATTGCTTTATTTGTAGAGTAACGTCAACGCTCATTCTCATGAATCTCTCACTGGGATGTTTTAGATTTCTTTCACAAACTGGAGCCTTGCAGCACATTGATATGATATGGTGGCAAATACTGATAATTCACTTTTGGACCAAGGAATGAAAACAAGTGTGAATGCTATGGAGCTCAGGTCACCTTGACATCGTCTATTCCAGACAATTGAATTAACTTTACTGAATGAATCATTATGCCTATGACCAACAATTACAGTGAGTAATATCAGGAACTTTCCCGGATTTCTGCTGCTGGGACTTAGAGCTGATCTCTCCCAACTGCTAGGTTTTCTTTCAGATTCTGGTGCACATGCTGTTCACAGTAGGAGCACAATGGATGAGATCAATGAAATTTTGTCAACCAGCTACTAGATCATGCTTACTTTAGGAAGAGAAAGTAGCTCCTGAGGAAATGCTCAAATATTGCTCAAATATCACATCAGACATGCCTGCTCTAGTTCCATTGAATAACTTAGAGGTGGAAATGGATGGCTTCTTAAACAGGTGAAATGCTGACCAGGGATATATTGTTATATGGCTTACAGAAGACCACTCATGGTTCAGAAGTGAGCTAGTACTCAACATGAAAGTCACATTTCTTACTAGAGAAAAGCCTGAGAAGGATGCAATGTTTCACACACACTCGAGCAGAGCCATGAGAGCACTGCACATCAGTGCACTGTGAGAGCCTGCATCAAGCTCTGTCCCTGTTGGTTTAACTTAGAGATGGTCCTTCAGAGAAATTTCCCTGGTCATGGGGAGCTGTCAGAAATTGCCATATGAACTTTGGCACCCCAGTGTGATCAACGCTTGCTCAGCCCAGTTGGGATAAAACAGCTTCTTGTGTTCAAAGCCAGCCATCAGACTCTGCCCTTCTTCCTTAGGCACAGACCTGGACACAAAGGTCACCTCTACGCTTGACTATTACAAAACAATTTAACTGGCAGACAAGTGAAATTCCCTGAAAAGCATCTCTTGTTACAAGTACAGTAGCTCTTCTACCTTCAGCACACATCTTTGCCAAGCCCTGGTCCAGTACAGCCCTGGTCTTCACATCTGTTATAAAACTCATGTCAGATAGACTGTATAGTAATCAAAGCCTTCCTTTGTTTGCAACTAAGTATTTTAGAAATTGCAGTTCTACCGAAAACCATAGAGATCCATGGTCAAAGCTGTAAGTGACAGTAGATAAAGGATTGCTGGAGATATGCTTCAAAGGTGCTGGCTCTGTGCTCCCTCCTGCAAAGGGAGAGTGGGGCTGTAGAACAAAGTGCAGAATGTGTGTTGTTGCCTCTGATCTGACTGATGGAGTTCTGCATGAGATGTGCCCATGTTCCCACAAAATGAAGCTCAGCTCCGACTCTCCCTTCCCTTCTTCTCACACTCAAAAATCCAGCAGAATAGAAAAGTGAATCAATTTGTTTTCCATTCATTTTTGAGAGGCAGAAAGGGAAACTGGTCATTTTGTATTTTACTTATGGGAAGATTTTGTGAAAATAAAATGAACAAGGATATGTAAAAGGCTTTTATAAATAGATGGAGCCAACTTTAAAAAAATCCTGGATTTTGGACTGGCCCAGTTAGAGAGCCTTGTTTTAATTGTGCTGTGGAAAGGAAAGACTTGCAAATTAAATCTGCACAAGTCATGAAGTAGCACTCTGGACAAATAATAAACCACTACTGCAGTACTTCTGTTTGCTGAAGAAAGACTTCATAGTTCTCTCTGAGGCAACTTTCTCTCCTGCTGAGTGGCTGCATCACTCACTGCTGCATTCTGCAACAGCTTCTGCTCTTTCCAGTTAACTCTCTGCTTTGCCCTTGCACCTACATATTTACATCGGCATTAGTGCCTCACTCACCCCTAAGGAGTTAACTGCTTTTATTACACGATCTGCTTGGCATTCAGGATGAATAGGAAACGGCTCGCCCCTCCTCTCCGACAATATTTTCGTGCTCTTTAAATCTCTGTGCCCCGGGCTGCCTGCAGCCTGGCACACTGCATGTCGCCGGAGGGTCATGCACGGGGGCACCCGTGGGACATGAGCACAGAGCTGCTGCAAAGCGTAAGCCCTGCGGGCACACTGAGAGGGCACGCTGCCTCGCACCATGCCCTCGTTCGATGAGGTGTTGAAGGAAGCCGGGGAATTTGGAAGATTTCAGAAAAGGGTCTTTTTCCTCCTTTGTCAGACAGGCATCACTTTTTCATTCCTATTTGCCAGCGTGGTTTTCCTCGGGCAGGTGCCGGACAACTATTGGTGCCGGATACCTGGGGCGGCTGATTTAAGTGAAAAGTGCGGCTGGACGCTGGAAGAGGAGCGAAACTTTACAGTGCTGCCCCTGCTGCTGGTGAATGGCTCCTCCGGTGGGCGCTGCGAGCGGCTGGATGTGACCTGGGATGCGGCTGCCGGCTGTGCCAGCCCCCTCACCCACCGCCTCGATGGCAGAGTGGGCAGCCCATCACTTGCCCCCTGCCAGGACTCCTGGGTGTACCAACAGCCCCACGCCTCCATTGTCAGCGAGGTAAGGAAAGGCTCTGTCCCTGCCTCAGCGCTTCCCTCTCGGTGTGGGGTTGCAATAGGAGGACCTAAGGATGAGTCATTTCTTCAGGTGCTGATTCTTCTGACTGGCTTGGCTTTGGTCCCACGAGCAGATCAGGACAAAGAGTGAGATCAGGTGTCAGTGTCAGACTTCCAGGGAAAGGTGAGCTGAGCTGGATGGTGCCTCCTCTTACTGCCCTCATTGCTCTGTTGCTGGAGGGATTTGACGTTAAAACAAAGTGATGCCCTTGTGGCTGGGGTGCTGGTGACCAGCTTGGACCAGCAGCATGTGTCCTCCATGTCTCCAGTGATGAATGCTGAGCTCTGCAGGTAGCAGTGAAAACTGGCAGCTGGCTCCCTCCTGAAATCCAATGGGAATCAGCTGAGACTGTTGTGTACTAAACTACTAAATACTACTAAAATACTAAAGAAAAAGCAATACATCCATGCTCAAAGCTATCATGCAGCTTCTCTTGAAATGTCAGAGTGCCACCAAGTACCTGTTACTGCTGCTGGTAAGCACCTGTAGGTGCGGTGACATTTGTGAGGCTGTGAAAAGCCACGTGCAATGCTGCCCTAGAAAATCCTCTGTGCAGTCTGTAATAGTGAAGTAAGTGTATAGTAGACCTCTTCAACTGTGTCACCAATGCAGCGATGAAAAATTACTACTGTGCTTCAGGAAGCTGAGCAAGAAATAATCAAGGTGCAGTGCAAAACGTGGCAAAGTAGGTGCTGGCTGTAGCTCCTGCTTGACTCACCAGCTTTGACTTTGCTGGAGCTGTGCCCCTGAATTGCAGAGTAAACTACAGCAGGTGAAGCCTTGAGCAGACATGAGGCAGAAAGTGATGCCCACCCCAACCTCTCAACTTGCCACTCTCCCTATCCAGCTGAGACACTGCTGCTCACAGTTCTCAGGGTCTTCAGAGCAGAGCTTTGTGCCCTGATCTCTGGTTTTTGTGTGCCAGCACCAAAATTAGGCAGCAAGTGACAGGTGGGAGCTGGTATCCAAATCTGGTCTTGGCTGATGGTAATGGTGACAGGAAGGTGAATGCTGCTGGGCTGTGGCAGGGAGGCTGTGCTGCTGGTGTGAGGCATGCTGCCAGTGTCAGGACAAGTGTAGGTCCTGGTGCAAACCTAGGAAGCCATGCTAACCAGCCACCTGGTAGCTTTAAAAAAAAAAAAAAAAAAAGGAGATTCCTTTACTTTTTCATTTTTCTCCCTTTAGCTTTGCTGTGGCATGTTAGTTGTGCCAACAGAACTGTGTTCAGAAGCTGTTTATGGCTTTAACCCTTTTGATTTTCCGGATGCATTGAAACACTGGGCATGGCTTAGAGAAAATGAAACCAATGTTTGTGCTGCCACCGTAAATGGGAGCAAAAGGTTGAATGTTCACTGGCAAACCCTGTGCACAGCTGCCTTTGTCCTGGGGCACCTGCCAGGGCTGTGTAGAGTAGGAGGGATGTGAGTTGTTTGGGGAAGCAGATCCAGTGTGCCAAGAGAACACATTGAGAAAACCAGAAAGAAAGAGCTTATGAGTAGCAGAGGGCAGAAGTGCCTGTCCCTGCACAGGGACATTGGGTTACACTAGCAGTGTCACTGCAGCTCCAGGGTGGTGGGACACCTCAGTGCTTGGGCTCTTCACAGTTTTGCAACATTTGCTGGACGACTCACAGCCCATGAGGCTCAGTTTCTTCATGTAGTAAGGAAACCTGTGACATGCACATCCTGGCTCAGCTGCTTTGAGATCAGCTATTAAAGGATCTTGATTTGAGATGATTTAAGTCCCAGTTTTAATTTAGTCTCCTTTTACTCATCTGAGGTGCTAACAAATAATGACTGAATTTAAGTAGATCTCTAATCTGCTTAACCAGATCAATGAACACCTTCTTCTTTTCTCATGCATCTGCTATTATGTATGTGCAGAAATGTTTTTGTTTCTTTCAATTACCTTAGGAATTCTGGCACCTTATCTGCTCCTTATGTCTGCTGAGGAACAGAGCAGGGCTTTTGTCCTTCCACATTTAGGAAGAGCAAAATCTATTCAGAAATCATCACAGGAGTAGTGCTTAGCAAAGCCTGTCGGTATGGCCTAGTGACAGGTGAGAAAGCAATGCTAAGGGCTTTCTTTTAAAATTGTCTGATGTCCACAGGCCCTGAGAGGTGATCCACCCAGATCATGGTGGAGTCATCCACTGGCACTGCGGTGCTTGAAGTAGACTTAAGCAAAGTGCACCTGGGATGATTTAAAGGTTTTGAGATACCAGCAAAGGCCTCACAATGTGCGAAACTTGGCTAAGATCTCTCTAATGTGGTAGTGTCTTTGATGATGGGTCTGAATAGATGTCTGAGCCAAGTTTAGTCTTCTCCCATTCAACTTGATGAAGTCTTGTGCAACTCCATGTAAAAATGGGAGGCATAACTGTGTGCATCATGTCATGGATTTGGCTGGCATAGCCATAATTTTCTTCATAGAGGTTGGAATGATGCTGTGTTTTGGATTTCTGATGAAAATAGTGATAATAATACACCAAATAATACACATGTTTTAGTTGTTACTGAGCAGAGTTACACAGAGCCAAAGACTCTTGTTTCTTGTGCTGCCCTGCCAGCAAGGAGCTGAGAGTACACCAAAAGCTGGGAGGAGACGCAGCCAGATCTGGTGACCCAGGCTAACCAGAGAGATATCCTATGCTCAGCAGTAAAAGGTAAAGAAGGGGGATGTTTGGAGTGACTGGCATTTGTCTTACAGCTACTACCTATGATGAGTACCTATGATGAAAGAGTAATGGTTTGCAAAGTACTAAGTATTTTATGCAGGCATTTTTGGTGATGATGACTCCTTCAGGCATGCTCATGAATTACAGTCATATCTGAGCTTGGTTTGCCTGTCAAGGTGCATGAAAGCATGAGGAAAGTCTGGGTGCTCATCAGCAGCTACATCACAGCTGGTATATTTTGGGCTTATTAGCAGCCTGTGTTGGCAAAAGTTAAGCAGAAGAGACTGATTCCAATCTGTCTTGCCTGCAGCAAGTCTCCATGACACAGATGATGTCATTTTAGGACCTGGCAGCAATTTCTAGTCAAAGTGTGAGGTTTGAGGTGGACAAATGATAATACAGATGTATCCTGTTGCACCTGCTGTGAATAAATCTTCTTACTCCTCTGCTTGCCTCAGAAAATAAGTTAGCCAACATTTGCAGAACCTGCAAGTAGGACAGTAATGTTTGTTTCAGCTTCTGCAGTCTCTTAGCTTAGGGGATAATGCAGCAGTCCAGCTCTGGCTGGAGATAGCACAGCTGGACTTTTTGCTCTCCTTCTCTGAAACAAGAAACAACACCCTTGAAGCACTGATCTAGTGTGATCTTTGTTGCTGGCACAACAGTACAGTGTCTTATTTCCACCATCACTATGGGATTAATATTAAGCAGTGAAGGGAAGGTGGAAAAAGGCAGACATGAGCTCATAGAGAAGTGATAGCTAAATTTCCTACAAAACTCTCCACTTTCCCTTTGTGTGAGGGGCTGGAGCTGTTCCTTGCAGTTACATCAGTGGGGCTGTGTTTCTGTTGACTCAATTGAGCTAGCCGATACTGGCTGAGGGTTTGGGCCTTGGTTTGTCATATTGTTTTTTGGACAGATGCTGTTTCTTAAGAGACTATATGTTTCTCTGGCAGCAGAGTAAAGGCTGGCTCCATTTGTCTTGTTAAGTGCTCAGCTTGAAATAAGACATGGAAAATGACTGTGTCCTTTAGCACTCTTTCAGAATCTTTTACAAAAAGATTATTTCTCCCGTTTCTCTGTGTGTGTTTGCAGGGGCTTTCATTTTGTTAAATACGTGTTAAAGATAGCACTTTGGCTGTCCAGAGAATGAGAGAAGAACTGCCCAGCAAGAAATAAACAACTCCAGTTTTCCTTTTGCAATAAGCATTGTCTTAAACTCTTTGTTGCTGTTTGGCCATTTGTATGAATGCCACGTATCACACGTGTATAGGTTTTAACCACATTGTTGAAACTGGGGTGATGGATCACTGTAGGTCTCTTTCATCAAATGATGGGTGAACCTCCTCACTGGAACTTAATCGTGACACGTAAAAAGTACTTCCAAACTCCTACACAAAAGTGCAATGCTTTGAGGAGCTTTTAATGAAATGTCATTTGAAGCAATGCATCTCTGCAGGGAGAGGTGTGCTGAAACATTTTGGGACTTAGTGCATAAAGCCTCTTTGTATGGGAGATGCTGAGTCATAGCCTGAACCACTGATTGAGCACCTGGGGAAAGGATCCGGTCACCCCCTGGGAGCACAGGTGAAGGCAATTCAGCTGTGTGACTGCAAGGGGTGAAGACTGGCAGCACCTCTCTTAGACCTCATTTAAGGGCTGACTGCTACTGGGGAAGGTGTTTTTTCTGGAGATCTTTTCTTGGTGAAGCTTTCCCTTCCAAACCTGAAATCTTCTAATACAGGTGAGCAATCTTCATCCTTTATAGCAATTTTCTATTGTGCTGGTCCTTCTGTCATTGCACCTCTGTTGTAACACCTTTCCTATTGTATTGATCTGTCCAATTGCTGCATCTCTGAAGTACAAGGAATTACAAGTCTGCTGTTAGACTTCATGTCCAACGGAAATGGAAAAAGCTTGTCTCTTGCCAAAGCTATGACGAAATAAGAGGTTGCCACAAATTAAGTTTTTTGATTGTGAGTCAAGTATGAGTGTTTATTCTGTTCTCATCTCAGCCAGTTCCCACTCCTTTTACAAGAACTTATTCTCTGATGAACTATAGAGGTCCAGTGCAAAACCTCTTCCTTATCACAAAATTATCTAGCCAAGGTAGTTTGCTGCTGCTTTGGAGATCAGCAAAGAAGTGTACCAGCATTGCTCCTTCAGTTACACCAAGGGCTGATTCTGGCTTGGAATTTCATGTTAACATTCAAGCTTCTAGTGTCTGGGAAGATCATTACTTCTAAGTCTTCTAAGCAGGACTGTCCATCTGCCTGTATTGCTAGGCCATCAGGGTAGGAGGGACTGATTTCCCCCACTCTAAGGATACTATAGAAGGGGATGTCCTGAAGAAGATGGTTCCTATTGCCTGTCTCACCCTCAAATGCCAAATGAGAACTGGATGCAGCCCTGCTCACTCTGATGTCTCCTTTGGGAAGGAGATGACTGAAACAAGAGTGAGGGGGTCACCTCACTAGCACGTCATCATCTCAGACTCCTTGCTGAGCTACCTGTGCTTGGTCAAGGGCAGGAGGCAGGGAGCCCCAAAGGACAGCATCCTGGCTCTTATCTATGGACACCTCTCCTGGGATGGGTTGAATCAGCTCTGGCAGTGCCCTGATGACTGATTCAGACAGCCAGCTTGCTACATTGGGGTGAGACAATCTTACTGTAAAGGGTGGGGATTTTGATACCAAATGTCAACAAGGAGGTCATGTTTGCTTTCAGAGAACAGCTCTTCAGCCAGAGCTCCATGCGTGTCAGTAGTTGTACAATTGTAAACAGATTTGAGGTCAATTATTCGCCCCTTCCTGGGAGAACTGGTATGTCAGCTAGAGAACAAGAGTAATACCAATACAGCTTTTAAGTGTAGAAATCTTGGGCTTGGTCTTTGAAATCAACAACTGAATTCAAGGCAGAACTATTTTCTTAATGGATTGTGATGTCTGTGTAAGCATAATTTCATTCTGACATTGCTTGAACAATTTTGTTATTATGTGCATCTTTTAATTTTTTTCTCACACTGATTTTATGGGTGTTTCTGGCAGGGCAGTAATGCTCTCACTTTGTTCCCTATTCTTGTGTTCCCTATTTTCCCTATTCTCTCTTTGGCTATTCTGGATTATAAGGGGAATCCTCTCTCATGACCATCTTCTGAAGGAATAAGAGGACTTTTTGCTCTTTAACTCAGGCAATTCTGTGAAGGGCTCTTAAATCTCATCCTGTATGAACCTCTCTCTGCTAATCTACCAGCCTGATATTTCCTTCCAAGGTCTGAATCAAAAGGGAGTTGAGCTGTTTGTGAGGTGGTAAGTATTCTTAACCCCTCAAGGGAGAGACTATTCACTCTGCAGGCCATGAAGTCAACCTATCTGTTATTCCTGGGCACTGCTGGCAGAGCAGTGTGAGGACTTCTCTGCCTTTCTTGGAGAATGACACATTCAGACTGACTCCACAGACATTCTCTGGAAGAAGAATAAAGTGGCGTGAAGGCTCATGTGAAGTCGTGTTGAGCACAAATGCTGGAGCACAAATGCAGGCTGAAGCTGGCTTTCTGCTTCGAGGTCCTGTGAGAGCAATTGCTGCATTGTACAAAAGCTCAGCTGAGCAGCAGCGTTCAGCTCCAGCCTAAACATATTGCCTATACCTGAAATGAAGGCTCAGCTGGCCAGATGAATCTTGCCAAAAGACCTGCTGACCAGGTATTGTGGTTTAACCCAGCAGGTGGCTGAACACTACACAGTCCTTTGCTCACTCCCACTCTTCCCTGTGAAATGTGGGAGAAAATTGGGGGGGGAAATGAAGTAGACTCATGGTTTGAGATAAAACTGTTTACTAAGAGAAAAGAAAAAAGGATAATACTTATGACTATATACATATGTGAATGTATATAACGAGTGATGCACCATCAAAACCAACTGATTCCTGCATGTAAGGCTGCAATGTCAAAAACTCCAGCTCCAGTGAGCTCCTTCCTCATCTTCTCACCCTTCTCCTTCCTGCTTATGTTGTTTCTGTACTGCTATGCTCTGGGGATGATGATAATCTATCTAGGGTGTTTACACTTCTCTCTTGTTCCCACAGTATAACCTTGTGTGTGGCCATGCCTGGATGTTGGATCTCTCACAGGCTATCCTCAACCTGGGTTTTCTGGCTGGTGCCTTCACCCTTGGCTATGCAGCAGACAGGTAAAGTGTTAGCACTGCTGTCCTTCTATTTGTTTGGAGATGAAATAAGTTGTAGTGACCTGCAATAAGCACACGTGACCACTTTGGAAGTTTAGTGAACTTCGGGTGAACAACTTCAGTCTGGATTAACCAAACCTTGACTACTTTTTTTGGGGGTAGGATCTTCAGGCAGTGATACTTCCTGATCATACTTGGACTTTAAAACCAAAACATTGGTTTCCAATGTTTTCTGTACACATCTGGACCCAGGAAGGGTAGAAGGACACAGAATGAAAAGGATGTATTTATAAGAGCTTTCTGGGCTAGTGATTACTGGAAAATACGTAAGGGAACCATTGAGGAAAGCAGCTACTTAAGGAGAAGAGGAGTGAGCACAGTAGGGTAACTGTTCACATGCTGGACTTGCATGTAGACCATCAAGATCATAGCTCTCTCTATACTGTCTTTAACTGAGCTAGGGCTGGATGAATGTCAAAGAAAAGATGTAGCTGACAACCAGGCTTGGGCAGCAGCCCACTCTAGAGCAGGGAAACCCCACTGTTTCTACCTATTTTTTTCTTAAAGTGGAAGAAGGAGCCTGGCTTCTGCCTTGTGTTAGTAATTACTGATAGTCAACCTATGCTTTGTCTACGAGCACCCCTGTTCACCATTATCAGTTATCAAAGAAAAATAAAGGCAAAACTGAAGTATTTTATGAAGAAATATGCTCTGCCAGTGAAGTGGACAGCAAGCAAAAACAGAATTAACCAGAATGTAAACTCAGAAACCAAATTTTAACCTAGCAAACAAGAGTACTTTTAAGAAAAACCTGATCTTTTCAAGGGATATAGTAGTAAAGAATATAGGAAAGAGGAAGAGATGTCATGGCACTGGCAACTTAGAATGTCTTTGCTCAGTGTTTGGTTGTGCAGTTGTAATACTAATACCTTAAGACTGTATAATGAGAGATATTGCAGCTAATTACTAATACAAGTACCCATGTATTAATCATAATGTAACTACAGAACAACTATGATTGCTATGACTTGATGGAGGTACTGGAGGAATGTGCTGCACCGAAGCCATTAGACTTTTCTTTTTGAAAAAGAAGAACTTAGACTGAGAAGAACTGGCTGAAGTGAAAATAAACTTCCTATCTTGATTGTTGTCCCATAGCAATTCTTCTCATGACATATTTTGAGCAAAATGAACAAACGTACTAATCCTTTCTGGTAATATAAATAACTGTATCAGCTTTCAGTTTCTTTTTAAAACCACAGCAGTAACAACACTAGAAATGGAAATTCTTATTGAGTTCCAAGGACATGATTGCTGTTAAAACTATAGGGAAGTTTTATTGTGTTTTTCTTTCACTTCTTTTCCCTTTTTTCTTCTGGAACTGTGGCTTACCTTCATTAATAATGACACTTTGTTTGCTGGAAAATGAGACTCATGGATAAGCTAGGCAGACTTGAGAACCAAGTGGTCTTAAACCTTTAAAAAAAAAAAAAAAAAACTGGAAAAATCAGATAAGGTGATTAAGGAAGAAATGACTTTCTTTCACAGAGCTGGCTTCAATTACAACTAAGAGATTAATCTGTATAAACAGAAGTCCCCCCTCCCCTTTCCCCCCCCCTCCCCAAACACACACATTTTTCCCTTATTTCAACTAGATCAAAACTACAAACTGTGATTTAAGGGCCATAGTTTAGCTACAATATGATCAGCACTTTTCTAAAATAAAAGAGTATCTGATGAGAACATCACCAGTTGTAAAATTAGTGATTAAATTCAGTGATAACTACCATGGAGAAAAGAGCCCTGTATCCTGAGGGCCAAGATTGCAAAGTTTCAGGCAGCTTCCATTTGGAACAAGGCACGTCTCAAAAAGGCACCTTTGAATTTCTCATTCAAATGAGATGGTACACTCTATTGACTGTCATGATTTTTATTTTCTTTTTTCAACAGATATGGCAGAATCCTCATCTACCTGCTCTCCTGCCTTGGGGTTGGGATATGTGGTATTATAGTGGCATTTGCACCGAACTTTACTCTATTTTTGATCTTCCGTTTTCTCCAAGGTGTCTTTGGCAAGGGAACCTGGATGACATGCTACGTGATTGGTGAGAACTGTTATCTTCCTTTTTCTTTTTCTGGCTCAGAAAAGTGAGGGAATGAGGAATGGAGGACAAGGAGTCTGGTTATGCCTGCTCTTGATAATTTTTCCTTGAACAAAGGGGATGACAAATAACCCAAGTCCATCCTGTTTAATGCATTTATCTTCAGTGACAAGGTGGATGCATGCAAATTGTAACTTGGTATGATCCTTGCTCTGGTTCATGTTGGAACTATGTATCTAGGGAAACGGCCGTTGGTCTGCATGCAAAACATGCCAGGGACCCTTATAGAAGCTCAACAGAATAGTTTCCTTACCTGACAATGTCTGCTCACTTACTGGTACAAAAGTAGCCTCTGAGAATGTCTGCAAGTGCAAACTTGCTTCAGTACCCAGTATAGATATGAGATGGGTATGAGCAGCAGCATACATACCTATGTGACCTATTGAGATCTCATGGAGAAGAGCAAGGAAGAAATAATGCGTAAGGGCCTCAGTAAGCCTATAGAAAGAGTGATGTCCTTCAGAACTATTCTGATTCTCCTTTCATATGTGTTCACCACACTATTTGTGTGTAGCAGGTCATAGGAAATTCAGAAGCAATGCAGCTTTTCCTGTTGACAGGACTACTGTCTGACAAAGACTTCCACATTTTTCATAAGCAGACACATTCACAAAATAAAAAAGTCCAGCAAAGGATTAAAAAAAGACTATGTTTGTTCTAATAAATAAAGCAAACTGTAGACTATATCTTAGCCCTCAGAGAAATCAGTGTGGTGGATCTAAGCTCTCTTCCCTATGGAAGTTTTGTCCATATTGACTGCAAGTGCAGCCCCTACCTGAATGATCATCTGATCTGGAGCATGAGCCAAAATTATGTGAGGGAGAATGCAAACAACTGCTACTAATTGTGATGCAGTCTCAAGACCCTGGTCTATCCCTGTTTAATTTGTTAGATGTGCAGTCAGAGACCTTTGGCTGAAGAATGGTGGATAAGTTAATGGGGTGGTATCACTCATGTTTGGACAAACCTGGTGACAGCTTGTACAGCTAAAAGCAAGATGCTGGACTAGACAGACAGACTTGAGCTGATACAGTACCATCCTTCCTTATGGTCCACTGCTGACGTTTTTCTTTTGAGCTAAGTTTGTTTCTGTTTTGTTTATTTTGGCTTTCTGTCTGCTCAGTGACAGAGATTGTTGGTTCTGATCAGCGGATCGTTGGGATTGTGATACAGATATTCTTCACCCTGGGAATTATGATTCTCCCTGGAATTGCCTACTTGATTCCCACCTGGCAAGGGATCCAGCTGGCCATTTCACTGCCCAACTTCCTTTTCCTACTCTACTACTGGTAACACTGCAGTCATTGTTCTTGTTGTTATTATTGCTATTAGAACACCTTGAGACTACCACAATGGCTCAAAATCTCTAATGTGCAAGATGTAAATTAGGAAGGAGATACTAAGCCATATATCCTTCTCCTGCATGTGCCATTTCTTCAAAAGTTTTCTGCCATTGCCATGGCACTTTTAGACTGTGATTAATCTTAACTACAAGTAAGCAAAAACTGAAACACTAATCTATGGTCTTGCTTTGGGCATGGTTTATAAGACTTGTATGAATATAGCTAGAAGCTTGCTGGTCTGTCTGTTCTTGAAAATATGCATGGTTAATGTTGACTTTCAGTAGTACCTTGCTGTTCTACTGACAACCTGTTGGCTTGTTGGTTATTGTACTTGATGTACAATGTGCAGATAAGTTAGATTTCTTACTTTTGAACTTTGCTAAGCATTGACATAGTTTGTTTCCTCCCTTCTTCCCCTCAAAGATGACATACTGTGTGGGAGACTGAGGAGTTTTCCCTTCTAAAGATTGAAAAATCAGTGTATTGGGTATAAAAGCAAGCGAAAGGCAAAGGGCTTGTCTTTACTTAAGATTTTAACAGGCAAAACCCCTATTAATGACTTCTCTGTTTTTACAGGGTTGTTCCTGAATCTCCACGTTGGCTTCTGACACGCAAAAAGGGAGAGAAGGCATTAAAAATCATGCAAGACATTGCAAAACACAATGGAAAATATCTCTCGCCACATTACTCTGAGGTACTGTCATCTGTCTGAGCTAGATTTTTTTTTTAAGATTTTTTTAATCTTCTGAAGGTTCAATGTGATCTGTATGGTGGGTAACACTCAAAGCATCACACCCAAACAAGATTTTAGTCCCCATGCTTAGGTTGTTAAGTGCGGGAGTGTTGGAAAGTGCAACTGGCTGGAAAGACAAGGGCTGAAAAAAAGTTCAAAATCAGTGAATGAAGTCTCTCATTTGAAACATGCCTACTTTAAAAACCTGCAGATTACTAGTCTAAACACTAGCTATATGCTAACAGTATTTCAGAAATTTTCTTATTGAAAAGAAACTACTTACAGAAAATGCCCATCTGTGAGCATATAAAAGCATTGGTAATGCCTATGTACATGCCTATGCATTCATTCTTATATGTATGCAAAATTATCCTGTGTGATTTTTAACTAGAGTTTCCCTGAGACTAAGGGCAAAGATGTTAGGATGGTAGTGTTTAGAGAGGACTAGTTTGTCCTATCCTCTGAGGCAGGGTCATCACAATGTGTGCTTTGTAGTTGGTATCCTGGGTTCTGACAGATTAGTATCTCACAAATTTCCCATTGCTTTCCTTTAGAAAGGAAGGAACTGAGATTTATCTGAGCTTTTTTTTTTTTTTTAAAAAAAAAAAAAGTGGAAACGCTTCACAAAAATCCTAGAATATTGTTCTGGATGAACCCCAAGCAATAGAGTTCAATACTTTCTTCCTTAAGCACCAGACATCTTTTTCAAATGCACAGGATTTTATTTATCTGCTAAGAAATGTGCTCCATAAATCAGTCACTCAGCTGAAGCTGTTCTTCTAATTCAAGAGCATCCCTGCCATAACTACAGACTTGGCAAGAACCATACAAGAAGTCTGCAAATATGGAAGTACTATAGAAATGCCAGTTGGTTTATACTTATATTCCATTGTATTTCCACTTCATTAAGTGTATGTTAATGACAGCTCAGGCAAATTAATCTTCACACAGCAGGTTTGGTAGAGAAGCTGGGCCCTGACCTATGCTGTGCCTCTTAAGATGTATGTTTCTAGACTAATGATTTTCTAAAGTCAAAACTAGACATGCTATCAGGGATTAGTGTGCTGAAGCACACATTTCCATAGCCAGACACTTTATTCATAAGCAACTTAAGTACCATGTTGTTGCTGTAATTTTTTTGTATGTTATATTGTTCAGGTGAGCAGGAAAAGGGTAATGATTGGGGAGGGGGGAGTGAGGAGTTTGTCAGGGAAAAAGTTATACTTAACTTCTGTGGCCAAGAAATGGAATATACAGAATAAGAATGTATGTTAGTGAAACAATGTGATTGAGGGAGATTTGAGAAGTAATAACTTAGGCCAGCAATTAGTAAGCCAAGTCACCAGTGAAAGCCGAAGCATGAATGTAATATCAGCCAAGATTAGGAAATCACTTTGAGCTGTCCTACAAAGCAGAATGAGCTGTGCTGAACTAGCCTTTGGTATGACAGAAGTGCAGGTTGAAACCAATGAGAGAAGTAAACTGAAAAGGCTAACTAATGAGAAAGAAATGGGTAACTCTGCTCATTGTGCTCACTGGGGCAGATACCCCACTGAGGTTCACCTGTCCTGGTCAGCATTACCCAGTGCTGAGCATGGCCAATGGTAGGAAAAACTTTGCTGCTTCAGCTCTCCCTCTGCATGCAGCTCTTGCATCCTCTTCCCCCCTCCCCTCCTCTCTAGACATCAGCATATTCAAGGCGTCACATCAGAATGCAGATGTCTCTCCTACTTCTTGCTATAAGTCATATTTAATTTCTTTCAGAAGGTTCCACCTCATGACCCTGAGGCACTCATAGCTGCAGCAAATTAACCCAGCTTCAAGCTGAATCTGTTCTTGGGACCTTTTCAATATGCAGTGTGTCCTTTTTGGTGGTGTGCCCAGAGGGGAGAGAGTATCTCCAGGAAGCACATTAGCAGAGGAGTGAGTGCATTTCTCATGTTAACTCACATTGGAGTTCTCAAGCACATTGCAACTCCAGAATTTCAGGTAGAGAAGTGCAGGTGTGGAGAGATTTGGGTGAGAAGCGTTCTCTTTCATCATATTTTGGCTAAGATTTTCTTGTCCCTTTACAGCAGTTTCATTGCCTGCATCCCTTGTATAGCTCTGGATGTATCAGCCTTGTGTTTTTACTGGCACACAGAAAACACAGATGACCTTTGTATAAAAACAGATAAACATTTCTTTTTATTGCTCTTTGACTTATAACACTGGCACAGTTCAGCTCTGTACAGAACTCATTAACTTTGTTTTATATTATAAATATTTTTTCCCGGTTGCTTGTAATTATCTTACTATTTATTTTTCGCACGAAAAATAATCAAGTAATTGTTTCATACTTGATCTCTATCCAAAAGGAGAATGATCTAGTTGAGTAAGAACTGCTTCTTGAGAGAGTCATAGATCAAAATCCTCTCTCCCGTTACACACAGGCATTTGCAGTATATATATTAGCTTACATGTGTGTTATACACATGTATGTGTGTTGTCCTGCACAGAGTTAAATATGTGCAGACTTATGTCTGTGCTATGAGTAGCCTTTGAAACTTGTTGCTGAAAAACTGAGATGTAATTTGATGGGACATAAACATGTCATGGAAGTTAATTATAAAACTTCCCGCGGAGTCTTCACATTGTGTATCTTTGGAAACATGGGCTCTTCTCTTTGAATTCCTGGCTGCACTGATGTGAATAGCAGAGCTCTCCATGACTTCAAGGGAGAAGAAGAGTGTTTTCTTCCTGACAAATTGTTGACTCTTCAGTGTTTTATTTCTTCATCTATATAGAATGCTCAGTTATGCTTAGGGTTATTATGACTTTCTTGAGACATTAAAATGTATGGTAGCAGCCATGCTGGATTTATCTTTCATCCTTTGAAGGACTAAAACCATATTTGCACAAAGGCACAGCTGATGGCTGGCAGCCTGCTCTTATAAATTAGTCATGTCAGCTTTGTAACCATACTATGAGCAAGTCCAAGAGCAGTGCAGAAACCCAGCAACCTCAGCCTGCCTTACAAAATGCTCTGGAATGCAGCAGGAGTGCTGCTTTGAAGAAAACTCAGGGCTCTGGCTGCAGAAGAAAAGCAAGACAGAATAAAAAGGAAGTTGTGGCATTTATCTCTCTATTTAGAAAGTTTTGTGACTCTCAGTTATGAGAAGTCGTGCTTAAATATGGCCATACAAATCTCACTGGAAACATCTGTACTGCTTTGTGGTCTGAACAACAAACAGAAAAACAGCTGTGGGCACAGCCCTGGCTGAGTACAGGAGATGCTCAGACAATGCTTTGGCCTTTACCTTTTGTCTCTTCACGAATGCACGTGGTCCTATTTAATTCTCTGTCTCATCCTATCTCCCTGCAGGCCAGGGTTGCCTCTCTGGGAGCCACAGCAGCCAGGCTGCCTGAAGTCCCCCTCAAAATGTACAGCAGCTTTAACTCCATGTTTCCCTCAGCTTTTCTGTGAGCTGATGGAAGTTCCAACCATGGCTGCCAGTCCTCAGGCAGATCCATGGTTGGTCTTTGCTTAAAATCATCCGTTTGTTCTCTTCCTCACCTGCAAAAAGAACATAAGAATCAAAGGTCTGCACCAGCACGTGTCTTAATGTTATGTCTCTGTAAAAATTGATAGTGAATGCTTAGGGAACAAAATAAGGGCAATGTCTTGGGCAGAGGAGCCTGATCTTTCCCCTGATATGTTCCTCAACCTCTGTTCCCTGGCAGGCTTGGAAAACCCCTGGCCTGATTCTCCTTCTGATTTGCTATGTTTAAAAACTGGTGTCCAAGTCCATCTCTGTGGATGTGCTTAATCCCTTTTTGTCCCTGCTAGTGTTCTGGCTCCACAAAACCCCAAGGCAACGAGCTCCAAAGTATAATCATAATATAATCAACCAGCCCTTTTCTGCTATTGTTAAACCTCCTAGCTAATTACTTCATCATCTGCCTCATTATAATTGTGCTAGAGGAAGTGTGAGCAGACTTACTTAACCTCTGAGGCGCATGAGAATCATTAATCCATACTTTACAGGATTTTTAGCTGTTTCAGGATAAAAGCCTTGCTCAGCATAGTGCTTTGTACTTAAAGTGCCTCTGAATTTCACCAGTTATGTTTTGCAACCCCTTCACAGATCTGCTTTCTCTCACACTTCCTGCTGCCCATCTGCCTCACCTGTGGCCATCCCACAACTCATTGCTTTGCTTGTCCTGTGGTGTTCTCTGTTTGGAATGACCATCATGTGTACAAAGCTATTTGTTGTCTTTCAAGGAGTTCCAAGTCACCTCTTTCAGTTTGCTATAAGGAAACCATTTTTCCACTCTCAAGTCAAGATTTGGAATTTTTTTTTCCAATTTTTGTTCTGTTATTGCTAAGGAAAACCAGCAGCTGAATTCAGTTATAAGCTATTTCTAATAACTACATACTGCTCTGGAGTGCTAGAAGCAGCAAACCAGGCTGTCAGCGTGTTTGCTCACTTAACTGAAATACTGCTGAGTGCTGCATTTACTTAGATACTGTGCTGTCAGATGTCTGACAGCTGATTCTGCTGCTTGCCTTTCTCCTCAGATCACTGTTAGCAACGTGGAGGTCACCAATCCCTCTTTCCTAGACCTGGTGAGAACTCCTCAGATGAGGAGGAACACACTCATCCTGATGTATGCCTGGTAAGTGGCCGTAATCAGTGCTGCTTGTTACACGGGTGGGGCATTATCAAGAATTATCCTCTGCTGACTTCTAGGGTTTTTTCCAGCCATTTGCAGTCATTTGTTTGCCTCTCAGCACTATTTTGTCTTTGGTGTTTAGGTTCACAAGTGCCCTGATCTACCAAGGGCTTGTCATGCGCCTAGGAATTGTTGGAGGAAACCTCTACCTGGACTTCTTCATCTCAGGAGCTGTTGAGTTGCCTGCTGCTCTCCTAATTTTAATCACAATTGATCGCATTGGCCGGCGCCTTCCTTTCGCAATAAGCAACATCGTGGCAGGAATTGCATGCCTTATTACTGCCTTCTTGCCAGAAGGTAATTTCCAATTCTTCCCTATGTTGGCCAATTTAGGTCAGTGGCTTTTCTCTCTGATACCCCTTAAACATGGGTGTGTAGACAAAAGTAAAAGGTGTCTAATAATGCAGGCAGAACTAAGAGTCATGAAACAACACAATTTATTTGCTCGTAGGCTGTCCTGGGATATGTCATGGTTATATCTTTAATAAGCAGTGAACAACAGATGGGTGTGATCTTGAAAAATATGTATAAAGGCCCTGTACAATTTTGAAGGCACATACAAGGGAAGAACACACAAACAGGAAGGGAAAATGCATTCATTGACTTGGAAGACTCTTGATGGAAGCAATCAGTGGTCTATCTAAGACACTGTTTGGGGTCCCCTCATTACAAAATAAGACTATACCTGGGAAAATATTATGGCCCTCTTGATCTTCCTCTGGTGTCAGGGCTGTCCTGGTATTCGCAGACTGTTCCAGTGGCTCAATGGTACCAGGTTACTGTATGCTCTGTCCACCCTCATTCATGCTCTCCCTTCCATCCTCATCCAAGGAAGTAGGGGATGTGGCACACTGCAGGAGTCTGGGCAATGCTGAGAGGGTAGAGGAATGGTATGGGTTTCAATTAAGTAATTCAAGGGCATGTAAAGGGTCTGATATCACTTGAAAGCTTCCCAGCACTCCTTTGTTTTCTTTAAATTGTTTTCCCTGCTGTATAACTGTTATATTGTACCTTCAAGTGCATATCTACAGAGGGACATTTGGAGATGCTGTGTACTGAGTGTTACCACGTCAGCGTGCTTTGCCTCAGAACAGCAAGGAACCAAACAGGCGTTATAGAGGCTCATTCTTCCCAGAGATGTTCCTGTCAGAACAAGCAGCAGTTTCTGTTAACCAAGAGGTTTTAGTCACAGACTTTATCAAGGGACAATAGTTTTGCTTCAGAAGAGCCATGAGGAACCATTTCATGGGTGTGATGTATTGAAGTAAGCAGGCAGATTTGCAGTGAGTGCAAAATGAAATCCTTCAGAGAGGACTGCTTGTTCATCTCCCACTCAGTTAAGCTCCCTGCAAAGCAATTCCTCCAAAAGTACTTATTACTGCGTGTTTGAGGACCACTGAAGTCTTTGAATGCTGGGTCTGCTCTCCTGAAGGATTTTGTCTACCATGACTCAGGTTTCTGCTGCTGGGATCCCCTGTGTATAGCCAACATGCTGTGCTTGGCTGCTGGCCAGTTCTCTGCTGTGGAGCGCTGCCATTAGGGCACAGAGGGCCCAGTCCTGGGGGCTGAGGTACTCACAGATAGGACATCTGAGGTCCCAGTACTGCTTCAAGTAAAATGTTTGCACAGATGGAAGAAGCTGCACTAGCAGTTTGTGAGAGCCTGGTCATGTTGGAGTAGTCACACAGGTCAGGAACCCTGGCTCAGGGAGGAGCTACACTCCTCCCCAGGAGTCCTATGGACTGAAGGGGAACCAGGCTGAGAATGTGGGTTTGTTTTGTTCTTTCCAAGCTTTGCTTTTCTGGCAAGTGTTTGAAAACAGAGCTTTTCAGGGCAAAGGCAGTTTCACAACATAAGATTAAATTTGTTGGGTGTCTCGTTTGATTATTTTGGAATGGAAAAACCTGCAAGCATCCATTTTCTGGTTCTGACAGAACTGAAGTGTTTTCTTGTTTCTCCTATTGGAGTTCTGGCAGAGATTGTGTTTTCTCAGAGCCCTCTCCAAAAGCAGAACTCCCCTTCATGCCAGGTTCAGGGTTACTGTTTTACTATCCTCCCAGTCTGCTCAGTCATGGTGTGTCCACACAGGAGACCATCCTCCTACAAGGACATTGAGGTGCTCCACATTATGTTCTAGGTGGCTCTCCATCAGAGGCTGTTGGCTTTCCAGATGGAGCTGGAGGACTGCTGAGGGGTTTCACATGAGTCAGGATGGCTTTGCCCTGCGGTGTGGATGTGGCCCTTTGTACCTGGCTCCCTGTTAAGAGGCAGTGGCCAGAGCCTGAGCAGACATAGCCAGCTTGAGTGGCTTGGGGCTACCTGTGCCAGATACAGTGCCAAGTGCCAGAGCAGGAGGATGCCTGAGAGCATCAGTATTAGGAGTGTATCCAATGTGCAATGGATAAAAAAATTATGAATTGTAGTTAGCCTACTCTAAGGAGAATGTTATGCTCTCCTGATTTAATTAGTTGGAAATTATTTCTGTTTCCCCACAGCAACATCTCATAATGCTGGAAAGCAATGAATGCCAATATAGACTGATATCTGCAGCAGTTTGACTTTCTGTCTGGCACGTACTGATTCAGCGTTGCTGTGTAGCAGCTTTTCTTGACAGGGCTTGGAGCTTTTAGGAGCATGAGAATAGAAATAGCATGTCTGAGTGAGACCTGAGGCCCACCTAACTCCTGACAAGGAATAACTTGGGCAGACAGGCAGTGAGGATGCGTTCTCCTCCTACCTATCACACAGTCATGACTTATCACCAAAATGTTAGAGGCTGATTTGGTCAGGGTAGGAACAGCTTTCCAAAATGCTTTTTTCTTGTTAATCCCCAGCTGTGTTGTTAGCTCTCCAGTCCCTTTTTCAAGCTTGGTAAGCTGCCGTTGTCAGTGATTTCATATGGCAGGAGTTTTTCTGACTGTGAGGAAGAATAGGAGCATTGCCAATGACTACTAGTGAACTCAGAGCACCCAGAAGCAGCTGTAGCAGCCAGAGACTGCTCAGTAGATCCCACCTCAGCCTAATTGCAAAAATCCTTTGCTGTGCTGCAGTCAGTGCGCATATCAAGATGAAATCCCTGCAAGAGCTGCTGACAGCATTCTGCTGATGCAGTAAAGTCCCCCTTACCAGGGTTTCTTTCTGAATGGACAGATATTCCATGGTTCAAAACCACAGTGGCCACACTGGGAAGGCTGGGCATCACAATTGCTTTTGAAATCGTGTACCTTGTGAACTCTGAGTTGTACCCGACAACGTTGAGGTAAGGCAAAACTTTTTTGCTCTGCTTTTCACCATTCCCTATTTCACTGATTTTTAGTACAGCTCATTCTAATCCAGAGTTTCCTAACTGAATAGCCATGCTTCAAGGTAGATGGCATATACTGATGAGATAATTTTGGAGTTAATTATATTGGCTCATCTGCTTGCTAGCACCTGTTAAATACCTGGCATTGCTTTTCTTTTGCAGAAACTTTGGTGTTTCTCTGTGCTCAAGTTTGTGTGACCTAGGTGGGATCATAGCCCCATTTCTGCTTTTCCGATTAGCAGCCATTTGGTTGGAGCTACCTCTGATTATTTTCAGTAAGAATTGATTTTAAATAGACTTTTGGTTGATATATTCTCCTAGCAGAGCTTTTCGCTTAGAGCACTAGTGTAGTGTGTGGCCTCATTTCCCCTCAGACCCGCCCCTCTCAACCATCATGCCTAGCGCAAGAGGCTGAACAGCAAATAGTTGAGATCTGGATGGTTTCACAGCATGCTGTGCAAGATCTCAGGCCCTCTTTGGTATCTGTGTTGAAGGATGAAGCTATGGGAAGTATTTCGAGACTAAAAAACCCTGCAGCTAAGTTGTGTAATGGTAAAGGAGTAAACTTAATCTCTGGACAGTAGCAATTGACGTCCTTTAACAATTTTTATATTGATATACACAGTTATGACTGTGGATGTTGTATTAGCCATAACTTCTTTTGCCTGTAAAAAAAAAAAAAACAAAAAAAAAAAAAAAACAAACTCTTTTTCTCAGTTTAATTTGAAAAAATAAACCCTGCAGAGTAAATGTGCAGAAAATAAAATATATATATATTTTTTCCAACAAGGAGGCTGGAACTAAACCAGCCTTACAAGTGATACGTGTGGCTGGGAAAAAAAAGGAAAAGGTGTAGGATAAAGTAAGAAGAGAAATTGATGCTAATGACAAATTTTAGCTTGGAAACATAAATGGAAAGACAAAAGCTATTTTTAAAAAATCTTATTAATTTAAGAATAGAAGCTTATAGAAGTACTGTGGTTACATTATCTAATGCTGAAATACTTATGCTGCTGAAGGATATATAAGATTTGACCTCTAAGATCTCTTGTTTTGGGCAATTCGGGCTCAAATGAAGTTATATCCCTCTTTTTTTTTTTTTCCCTCTCTGTTTTTCGTTTGTTTTTGTAACAGATGCTCGTTAAATTCACATGAAGATACTCAATAAGAGTAGGACTAATTAGAAATACCTGTTGTACTTTAAAAATATCCCTTTAACCTTAGTCTGAGTAAGTTTTCCTTATCTGATGAACCCCAAATATAAAAAAGTAACACTTTTAAAAATTGTTTTTGTTTTTCTTCCATGCCCATTTTAGGTATTCTTGCAGTTGTCTGTGGGATCCTAGTATTACTTTTACCAGAGACAAAGGGAATCTCTTTACCCGAGACAGTGGAGGATGTAGAGCAACTTTCAGGGTATGCTATGTATTTTCTAACTTTTACCTGACTGAGGTTTCCTGAGGATATTCTTCTCCAACCGTGTTGATCACCATAAATTACAGATGTTTTTTGAGCATCCAAGTAAATTCCCTAGTCATGTTGATAGTACGAGCAGGTAATTTTTCCTAAGTGGAAGTGTGAACTTTCCAGTACCACTAAGGCAGGTTGTTAAACAAATCACCACCACCAAAAACCATTGGGAGGTAATCTATATTTTTCTCATAAAATTTCCCTGTGAACTTCTGGAGGCAGAAAATTATAGTGTACAAGAGATAGACTGCAAAGAATATCCTGCAGTTCTCTCTGGTCAAGAAAACCAGCCATTGCCTCAATTAAAGCGTGCTGTGAAGAAGAGCCCTTGATAATGTGAGCTTATCCATAGCTTGTGAAAGCTTCCATAGCTTCCACTGAATGGATTTATAACTGAAGACATATAGGCACAGCTTCCCCATTCCTAGCACGTGACAAACTAGACTCTTCAATGCACTATGGGCACACAGGGAAAATTTACACCTTGGCTTGCCTGGCAAAAAATTTCTTAATGAGCTAGTGACATAGACTACTGTTTCATACAGTGGGTTTGGATCTTGCGTCAACATTTTACCACTTCCATACACAACCAAAAAAAACAATCGAATGTCATTACTATGGTTTGAACTACAACTCTTTTTTTCTTTCTCATTTATGCCTTCTTTTTTTCTTCAGTCACTATGGTAAATGTGGGAAGAAAAAGAAACATCAGAACACCAATTCCTATATTTGATCTCTAAAGGATGATGTTGAGCAAAGGACTGTGATCCCATATGGGGAATTTCTTCTTCACTTGACACCACTTTGAAGTTTGCTCCAGAGTATGGATTAAATCCAGCTTCTTCTTCTGAGTATAAGAACATTCAGAAAAAGTGGTGTATTCTTCTGTAAATATGAAATAAATTCATTTTTTTCTAAGTGTGTTGTTTCCAGGAAGGAAGTACTCTTTGATTTTGATAGAGAGCAGATCAGCTTAATTGCACTATCCAGCTCAATGAGCTTTTATTTATTTCTTTATACATTTGAGATGTTTATTGGATGACTTTGGAGAGGAAAAGATGAATATGTGAGCCTTTGCCCTTGGACCATCTGGACAAACAGAAGTGATTTCTCATGAGGGAGAGTGCTAATCAGGACAGCCCTTTTTGGATCAGAAATGATGAGACTGGGAATCCATCACCCTGGGCTGCTCCTCTTACCCAGCAACACTGCAGCAAAAGCTCTGTCCATTGAAGGTCTTTCTCAAATGTGGTAGCACTCCTCTTCTGTTACGTAGTTGTCACTTCTTACTCAGGGCGTTAGCTCTGCAGGTCAGATCATCCCACTGCCCACTGGTGCCTCCCCCCCATTCTTCTGGTCTTGTGTCCAAGACATGCTGATTTTTTCCATTCTAAAATATACTGTCCATTTCTGCAAGCCAAATCATCTCACCCTGACCTGGACCTACGTGACTTCCAAGTCCCTTCTTCCCTTCATTGTAACTTGTCATCTTTTTGGTTGAGGGTAAGTTATTTGGGATACTGACATGGATGTTAAGCTGTCTTGGGAAGATGAGCAAGAATAAGACAAGAGTTTTGTTTACAGAGGGAAGTATTAACTTAATCCAGTTGTTTGAAGTTGACCTGTAGCAGAAACATTTGATCTCTGGCTCTGCAAGCGGCTAAGAGGGATGTCTCACCTTCCCTTTCATCTGTATGACCTCCACCTAGTGCTGGGTCCTGGCCAGAGACAGACAATACTCTCCTTATAATGAAGAACTTAAGAAGATGTGGTGTTTGAACAATATCTCGTCATGGTCAATGAAGAATTAAACAAAGGAAAACCACTGAGTTGTAGAACCTTATAAGACCAAAAACCAACAGATGAGCGTGAGCAAATTTAGGAGTGGGTTTTAAAACTTCATACCACAAATGACTGATGTTAACATTAAGATTAGTGCAGCTGAATTACAACTACTCTAGTCTAATTATCTTATGAGCACGAGTAGTTTCCCACATATGGGGTTTTCCTGTGGTGAGCTTACTAGTCATTTCAGGAATTCCTGACTCTCCCTGTCTTTTCTGATCAGCTGCCCATACCACCAACCCCTGTGGAGGAAACCAAGACCGTTAGTAGTAATCTCAAACTCATGTTTGCCTACTCTGAACAGTTAGTAATGAAGGGCTTTCTTTCATGCCTGTTCTTAATTTTCTGAGTGATAGTTAAAAGCCAATAAGATGCTTAGTAAAAGTCAGCAGTGATCGAGAAATATGAAACTAAATGAACATCTCATAATTTATCTGTCAAATTGGTCAAATAGCTAGAGTATGACCAGAAATTGGAGCGACTGCTGCAGGCAGAAAATCCCTCTTACACCAACACACTCCTCTACAGACAACTCTAAGCTCCTCAGGTTGGCTGGCAGAGAGCAGTCCTAAACTTGAAGTCATGAGCTTGCACAGCTTGGGCCTGAGCAAACCCACTGCAGCATCTCAGTGTCCAGAGCTCAGCCCTGCCTTCCCAGCGGCCCCACTGCCCTAAGGGAACCTTTTCTTTTAATGCTTCTCCTTTGTGAATTTTTATTTTTTAACCAGTTTCAGAATCACTGTAGAAGTCTGAGGAGGATTGTGGAGATCATTGAAAACTATGGTTTGACAAGGAAATATTAATATTATTTGCCAGCTTCTGCTATTTGTAGATGACTGAAAAGTGCTTGAGAAATGAGAGGAATGAAGGCTCCAGAATACAGCTGGAGAAAGGGTAAAAGTGCTTCAGAATTTTCAGCCCGGAACAATCCCCCGTCTGCCTTCAGAACTGAAGGTGATTCAGAAAGCTTGTCAGCAGTATGAAGGCCTGGTCTAGGATGGGCAAGAAGGTATCACTCCCCCCCTCACTCTGAGAGAGGCAGAGAATGGAAGGGACCAGGCGTTGTCAGCTTTAGCTGTCTTGCATGTATTATACAAGTTATTCTAGAGGCTCAATGAGTAATGTGATTTGCCTAGAAGACAATGGATCACCTTACCATTGTTTAAGACACAATATGATAGCAGAAACCCGGGAGCTAAATTCTTCCTGTCTGCAAAAAAATTCCTTAGACCAACAACCGCGTGGATGTGCTATTCAGTTTAACTGTGTCTCCACCCCAAAATCTGGCTCTTAGGTGGGATGTGTGTAGCCTCTCTGGCATGTCTGTGTATTTCTACCCTGACTACAATCTCCCATTATAGTGTATGTGAGAAAAGAATGACAACGCTTAGGATGCAATCCATCTCCTCCATGGGCACTAGTTCTTGGGGGGATCCATAGAAAAGTGTGAATATATTTCTAGGGGGCAATGTGATTGCCATGTTAACAGCAGTGACTTACTGAAGTTATTTTTATAATGTGTTTTGGAAGAAAAAAATCCCTTTTTGTACAATGGAAAACAAATGACAAAATTGAGAACAAAGAAAAAGTCTTAAATGTGAAATAAAATGTAAAATCCTTCAATGGCAGGAGCCAAAACTGCTTGACCATTCGGAAAGTTCAGAAAGTGCCAGGAGTCCTTTTTTTTCCCTAGTGAATATGCACATGTATATTCAGCACTGAGTTTTAGGGGTCTCTTCTGTTTTTTTTTTTTTTTTAATTTCTTTCAAACTTCATGAGGAAATTTGCCAATATAGCATCACAAATACACAGCTGTATTCTAAGAGATGTTGGTCTTATGATTTCATTTCCTATAAGTACAGGCATATGTACTTCCTCTTCATTTAGAGAAGAAAAAGCTGTATGTAATGATAAGACAAGTTATATAGTTATATAACTTATGTTATATAACTTATGTTATATACAAGACTGGTACTGTGGATGACAGAAGTTTATAATACACTACATGCATTGTCATTACTTGCTGTAATGACTGACATTAGTTATTTCTCTGTCTTCACTATGAACTAACTTTAGGATAAGGGTATTTTTTTATTCACTGTTTTATATCTCTGATGCAACCTTTGTACTTCTGCTGACGCAAATTTCCACATCAATAAAAAAAAATATGAAAATACAAGCCAAATGTATTTGTTTATTTTTTTTTCATCCCATGTACTTAATGCAGTCAGATATATCTAATAAAACACTGCAGGCATAAAAGATGTGTACAATGTTTCTTCTTTTTTTTTTTTAATCATTGCAATGCTGAAAAGATCAAACAGCTCATAGAAAATGAGAAATATTCTCCTTTCTTTATCTGTTGGAGACACAACATCTTAAACTTAGAATAAAAAGTCATTGTAGAGGCTCATATGATTGAAATGCAGATATTCAGTTATAGCTGATGTTGGAATTTTTGACAAGTATTTCAAAGGTGTGTGTTGTCAAACATTGCAAACCACAGAACATATAGAAGGAGGGTAATGCAGTCAGATGGGTTTTATGGCAATAAACATTACCTTAAAGCAATTTTAAATGGATGATCATATTTATTTTGCTTTTTAGGAATGATTGTAGCTTTAATATTGCACTTGTAATCTTGTATTTCTAATGTGCATACTGCTTTCCAGGAGAGGGCAGTCCATACCCAGGATCAGTTGTTTTCCATTACGCTCTTAATCCAAGGAATATAACTAGAAACTCGAACATAAACTCCAGGTTTCATGGGTTGGGCACAGCCAAGGCCCCAAGAGGTGACTCCGTGTTGGACAAATCTATCTTGGTCCAGACAAACTAGAGGTCCTCCACTGTCTCCCTAAATAGAGTGAGAAAAAGCAAAATGAGAGCTCAAGATGTGAAGAGTGGTGTTCTCACAGGAGGCACAGAAATGGAACTGCCTCTTGAATGAGAGGTGGACATTTGTTGCAAGAAAGCACTAGAGCTTTGGCCAGAGAGGAATTTTCTAATGCATGCTGTTGAGCACTGTTCTTATAACCAGTGCTGATGCTCACAGCCCTTTCTTACCTGGCAGGTATCTGTGCCTCCATGAATATTTCCAGCACAGAGCTCGTGTTTTTTGACTCTCCCATTCAAAAATTCGGGGCGGTTGCATATTTTATTCTCAATTACAGGGAAGCCAGTTTCCTTTAAGTAGCCTTCACCAGGAGTTCCTTTGCAAGTAAACAAAGTAAATTATAATAAAAAAACCCAGCATGTTAAATGACAAAGATAAATGAGCGTCTTCATAAAATAAATATCCGGATAGGAATAAACAGTAAAATAAACAGTGTTTACAAACATACTTTCCATGCATACATGGAGTGATTCAAAAATCAATAAGCGTTATCAATAGTATCACAGTGCTTATCACCTTTTAGCACCCATCGAAATACACAATACAGTGATTGCCCTTACTGTTCTCACACTGCATACATGAGGGTCCAGTACCCATATTGTACGTGGGAGTCATTCCCAAGCCATTTTATTTCTCTGGGTCTGAGAACACTTCTGTGTAAGAAAGGAGGAAGGAAATAGGCAATTGAAAATGTCATGATGGACAGAAACCAGGAGGCAGAAAAGTTATGATGCTCTTCTCAGCCAAGACAAAGTGGGAGAAGATGGGAGCACTTTGAAGATGGGAGCACTTTCATATTCAAATGAGATCTTCTGAACTAGGCTGATTGTGAGAAAAATCATTTGAGAAAATGAGTAAACTCACATCATATATTAGGAAAATTGCCTAAGTCTAGAAAAACTTTCCTTCTGACTGTGTAAAAGCCTCCTCTGGGGAAAAGCAGAGTGGACTGAGAAATAAAAGCAAGTATGTGCTTAGGTCTGATTCCTCTTTTTTTCGTATTGGTTTTGGGTGTTCCAGTGTCTGTCACTCTGAGAGGTTTAAAAGAATCTAAATCAGGAGAAAGCATTAGAAAGAAAGGCAGTACCTTACAAACTGGGATGAAAAAATGTATGCATGCAAGATTTTTTTGGGGGGTGTTTGTGGCATACACTGAGTATACTTTGGAGACAAATGTATACAAAGCTCCAAAAATGGAGTGTTAATTCTGTCTCACCTTTTGTATCTCCCCAGCCTGTTACATAGCACTCCTCTCTTCCTCCTAACACAGCATTTTCTTTCGGCAAGCAAACAGGGATTACCTGATCAGTGATGATTGCTGGGCTGAAAGAAACAAACAAAAAACTCACACAAGGTCAGTCATTGTATCACTTATGCGTGATACCACCTTAATATTTCTAAGAGGATTTTATACAGTCAGCCTTTTTCTCCTTGAAATTCTGAGCTTCAGGTAAAGGTTTGTTTTTTTTTTTTTCTGAAATTCAAAACCACTTACACTTTAGGTTCTAATCCCACACAACATGGTACACAAAAGGAAAAGATATGAAATGGAGAATGGTTCAAAAGGAAACAATATTAAAAATTGTAAAGTAAATCCAAAAGAGAGTGTTCACATATCGTTAAAGCATAGACAACAAAACCTACCTTATTCTGCCTGCACCCAGTCTATTTATAGGTTACTTTCAAACTCAATACTCTTAGCATAAAGCAGAACCTGAATCAGTCTGACTTACGTCTATATGCAGATTCTTAGATTAAGAAGCTGCTTTAATTTTGCTGTGTTTTGGATTTTCATTGCAGCCAGAGAAAGCAAAGCACAAGCGTGTGTTCATATCTGCTTGTAGCTATATAGATGTATTCCTATCAGTTGCAGAGCATGCTGGAGTTTCAGACCAATGGAAACAGATGGAAGAAGTGCTAACCTGGATATTGCATCAAAAATGTGTACTGCTTGCCTGCACTACGGACAACCTGCTGGAAGAACTCTCCCCACTCTATCATGGAAAAAGTATGTGGTCACGCTGTGCTGCCATTGTAGCTTTCAATCTCATTACATTACCAAGATTGAAGTGTATAGGGAAAGTTATGGAGTGAAAGCTTTATTAAGCACAACCTCCTCCTGCTCTGCTGCTTCCACCATACTTCACAGCAGCTGGCTCTGAGTGCACTGCTAGCATAGGTCACCATCTCTAGCCCTCCTCCCTCTCCAAAGCAGCCCTTTCCCTTTCTGAAACCCTGCAACTGAAATCACCTGAGCTTCCACTGGAGTTTCTGCAGAAAGGGAAGAGGGGGTCACAGTATGCATAGAAACACACACTTCCATAGCATCAGCAAACAACCACTGCTTAGTTAAAAAGCAAGCAAACCAAAATTTTCCTGTCAGAATGCTTCAGGTGAAAGGATACCTCCTCAGTTTTAGTAGAGCAATGTCCGCCCTGTGAGGCTCCTTGAACAGTTTCTCAACATCTCTTTTCTGCACTGATGTTTCTAATGCTCTTTCTTCATGTAATCCAAGATATACTTTATACCAAGATGGCCGTGATGACCTATTGGAAATGATTGCACACAGTGAGCAGAATAACACATGTCCAGGACATAGGCCACTTACGATAGTGTTGGGCACCTAGTTCTGTCAAAAACAGAAAAGAAAGCCAGCTTTGGAGTAAGCTTATTTTTGTCATTCCTTATTATGGCACATGATATCAAGGCTTGCTATGTGCATTAGCTGGTGATAGTTACTACTCAACACTCTGGCTTTCAGTCAGAACTGCCTTAATGAATGATGAATAGTTTTGGCTCAATTCTTGATTGTGCAAACTGAGTCAAGAGACAACTCAGGTTGGTTATTGGGCCAGTTTTATTTCTCCTGTTATTTTCTATCTCATGTAAGAAAATGCTGTTGCAGTCTGTAACAGATACTTACTTTTCTAAGCAGTGAGCAGCAGTAAGAACCCACTGTGGATCTATCAGGGTTCCCCCACAGAAATGCAAGCCGTAACTGTAATAGAGCAGAAAGACATGAAAAAAAGCATGGGTTTAAGGTGATGAAGTCAGCTGTAGATCACTGCATTTAACCCTCTACTATTTTTAAATACATAACTCAGTTCTCTTTAGAGTGTTACAACCACATACATACAACATCCTGTGAGATGCAAAGCTTTCTTGATTGTAAAGCCTCATGCAATGGGGAGTGGCTGTACCTTGTCCGGAGGCTGATTTGCCAGGGCCAGGAGTGTGGATGCGAAATACACCCAGCAACAATCCTTTGAGCACACAGCTTTGGTCTGGTCTTGGCCTTTCCACACTCATACTGAGCAGGAGCTACAGAATAAGAAAAAAGAATCACAATGCGGAACTTTAGAGTATTTGCTATACATTCTCTATGCACTCAGAAAACTAAAAGGTTAAACTTTTACATTTTTCTATTCAACTCATGGTTTCTATTAAATTATACACCATACATCATCTGTGTTTTGTTAGATTTGTTTTCTTCTGGGACATTTAAAATGCCTGGTAATTTATTTTTTTTTGCATAACCTTCTTGGTTCACAGCAAATTACAATTGAATAGCACTACAGTGAGGTAGAAAAAAGGAAAAGGAATGGAACAAGCAGGCAACAGAATTAAATCCTCCCAACATGTTTAAATTCTTACAGGTGACAAAAGTGCAGAAGTTGCACTGCCAGCTGTATTCAAAGTAAATATAGTGATAAAGAACATGAAATTCAGTCACTGTCTTTGTGGAACAACACTTTGCTCTTATCCCATGCTCTTTTAAGCACTTCAAATGACTCTATAGTATTCCAGAAGAGTAGATTTTGGTTAGCCATGGAAAGATGACCTAACAAGAATGCATTTAGATTTGTTGTCAGCAAAAGTAACTAACTACTGAAGCTAAAGGCAAAAGCCATGTTTCCTCTGCTCTTTAACTGAGCAGACCAGAAAGTTATTCTAAAAAGAAATTGAAATTTCAAGATGAAGTCAATGATTTTAGATAAATGCTATTTTCCCTTAAGAGTCCCAACCCAAGACTTTCCACGCAGTAGTATTTTTACAGTTGAGGTTTGTACGTACTATAAAATAGCTTTCTTATTCTTATTTGTTCTATATTTGGATTTTGATCAGAGGTATATAAATATAGAAGCATGTTTTCCAATCAGCTGTGCCACATGACCAAGCAGGATAATTTCTTCAGCACCAGCCCTATTTTGAAATATCTGGCAAAACCTCCATGAGCTTCGGTGGAACCAGATAAATCCACTGAAGTGTTTGGGGATTCCAAGGAATAACCATTGTTCTTAAGAATTCAGATCCTGGTGTTGAGCATTACTTCACCACAGCCTTAATTTCCTTTCTAAAGCTACTGCACTGTCTTAGAGCAGTCTTTCAGATTAATCACTGAATGTCATAAAAGGTGATAAGAAAGGAAGATGCTAGTCTTAAAAGGAATAATTACGGCACTTGGGAATGTCACAGTACTCCCAGGCTTTTCTTGGGTCAGTTGTGTAGCACCAAGGTCCATTCACATCTCCATCAGGGTTCCTGCAATACTGTAAAGAATATTGAAGACATTAGCTACTAAGAGGACAAAAAACTTATTTATCTTGTCCTAGAATGGGGATTTCTAGAGCGCTATAGTGCCTATTTCCACTCCCACTGCAGTTGGTAGGAGCTGTAACATCAGCTCTCAGGTCTTTTCACATCCACCCTGTTTGCATGACTGTGAGACAAGCAGGAATTGTATAAGCTGCTCTTGTACAACTTGGTGATGTCTATGAGTCCCAGGGCAGGGATGCAGTCTTCATCTTTACACAGGGTGCCTAGTTAGCTGAAACACTGTTTAGGGTTCCCTGGCCATGCTGTCTGATCTCCATTTAGAGCAGACATGTCACACAATTGCATGCACTCATATGGAGGAATGTGAATTTAGTCACTGTTATCTGAAAGTGAGTCTCACCATCTGCCTCTGTGTTCACTGATCACCCTAAAATATAGCAAGCAAGATCACTTGGCCCCGCAGCAGGATCTCACTTCTACAGGCTTAAAATAATTCTGATCTTTCAGTGCATCTTCATCCTCTCTGCCCTCCCCAGAACTAATTGTTCAGCAACATAGAGGGGAGAGGAGAAGAGGCATGGACAGAGACAGCTTGCCACACTGTCTACAGGAGTTGGTAGGAAGAAAGCATTATGAACTCCTGGATCCTGAATTCCCATTTCAGACTCCTTGCAATTTAAGAAGTACTATGACAGACATTTTTCTAATTAACTTCCCTACTCTGAATTATAACCACACATCTTAGGAAAAAGAATAGGATAGTTGCTTCCGTTTCACAGGAATCCCAACCAATTACTCTATTCAAGAACTAATAAGTTATGACAGGCAGCTTTTCATAGAGCATTTCCCCAACCTGAGCCATTATTCAATATAGGCCATGTGATGCTATCAGAGAAATGGCTAAAACAATGTCTAAAATCATGTACATGGAGAAAAAAATCATTTAATCTGACAACATCAAATGATTTCATATATGTAGCTTGTCAAACTGGACAAGTTCTGTATACAGAATGTTACAAGTCTTAGCAGCCACTGGCTAGAAACAGAAGACCTTTTAATGGGTACTTATATTAGGACTAGGTTAGAGATGAAGGTTATAGATGGGGAGTGAGTTACAGAATGTGTCAGGAGCATGGATATCAATGCATAGGCTACAGCAGTAACTGGAGGGCTTTCTGAAGAACAAAATTAGTAGAGGCTGAGGGCTGCAATCTATTAGATATATAGCCTAAGGAACTTGCACTGAACTTGAATCCCTCACCATCTCACCTGTTGCTGATGCTACTGAAACCTATTATTCTAGGTGTTTTTTTTCTGTCAAAGAAGGCAAAGTACTGCCCAAAGACCAACTCCAGATAATCTTCAGCAGTGGGAATAAGCAAATGCTCATACGAAGCCTTTTGGCTATACTGCAAAAGCATTTGACGTTGCTGCTGGGCATCTCTGTTTGTCCCAAGGAAGAACAGACTGCTCATGTCAACAAGAATTAACAAGATCAGGTTCTTGATTGAACTGAGGAAAATAATTTACAAAGACTTGGGATCAAATGGTTACCGAGGGACCACAAAATAGACAGGAAAAGCTCAATGACAGGAAGTATTAAATGAATAACATCTTACATTTTTTTCCAGGCCTGATTTTGGATGAGTCCTTGGAGTGAAGTAGTCATGTTTATGTGGTGTCTGAGAACTCCACTCTTGACAAGTCCGGCCCCTTGCAGTTCTTGCTACTGTGCCACGATAATCTATACCATTTGAATGAATGCAATCTGTGAAGAAAGAGGAAAAGAAAAAAATCGTTAGCTGTCAGCAATTGGGTCACACCAACTCTTGACGGTGGTGAAGCAGAAATAAATCTGAGGAAATGCTATTTGAATTTACATGTTTTCCTTAATGTATATACATGGAAAGAAGGACAAAGTAGTGTCAATGATAGCTAGCAATCACATTTTGATTTGCTTGCATTTGCAAAATTTTCTTCATTACTATGATAGACTTAGGTCAAAGAAGCTCAGATTCACTTGACACTTTTTGACTCCAAGAGTCAGGAACACAAAGACCATGCAGTCATAAAATCTTCTCTTTATGGACATTGATGTCTATCCACTGTGTTTTACAGTGTGTAAATAGGTTGTAATGCACAGTCAGGCAAAACTACTAATTATCAGCCTAAAGAAAGTGACAGAACAAAAAAAGAAAGCTGCAGCATTCTAAACATCTACTGGACAATGAAGTTGCATCCGAACTGAGTTTAAAAAGCCAGCTGTCCTCTGGTGGGAAATGGAGTTCAGAAAATGTGAATACATGTCATGTGAAAAGACATTTTCAGGACATTTGTCAGCAAAATGCCATCGCTTCTGTATTTGCTGTCATTGTTAATAGCACTCCCACCAAAGTGTGGTTACTATTAGTCATTTTTTTCCTTGTGCTTCCAGTATTGCCAGGTGTAATAGATTAAAAAAAATCCTATATTAGTCTAAAATCAAATACAGAAACTATTGTATAATGTTCTATAGGAAAGTTCAGAAAATTATGAGAGTGGATAAGGTATTATATTAAATTCTGAGATTGTTTAGGATTCTGTCTTTCATCCTCATTCAACTCTATGATTTTTACATATAGAACATCTTTCTTGTAACAAGTGTTCCTGGAGAAAGCACAACATCTTCTCACCAGGATTTGGTTCCAGAGTTGTCTGAGGAGGTTTTGGTAGAGTCATCTGTACATTGTCATTACATCTCTTCAGGTTGCAGTACTCCCATCTCACACTTGGGTCAGTGGTGTAGCACCATGGGCGGCTATCAGCATCTGGGTTTCTGCAATAATTCTGCCTCAGGTCCCTACAAATGCAAACATATTGTATGCCTATCTATGCCACAGGCTTGAGAAGAACTTGAAAGAACATTTTAGAAAGCAGGACTGGTACAAAGATAATGTACAGTGTCTGACAGAAATTCTATTTTCAGTGTAAAGAAATCAAGAAACATTTGTAGAAAATTTAATTTTGAAAGGTATTATTTGCTGTTTAAGACACATAGTAATAATACTGTTTACAAATCCTGATGAGTAAATGCACATTTTAATGTACATCAAACCCTTTTAATTAAAAAAAAAAAAATAATAGGCTTTTTGAATAAATAAATAACAAAAATTAGGAATAAGAAAATGACTCATCTTCTCTACAAAGCTCTACTGAATGGCAGACTGGGAGCCTAAGACTTAAAATTGTGAAGAATCTAATGTACAGAAACAGTTCATTGCAGTATAAGGGAAAGTTTATGAAAACTCTTAATTTCTTTAAAAGTAATGTAGAAACACAATTAATTAGCATTCTAAAGCATAATAGTGACAAGTGGGGTTTATTTCAAGATGGGATTAATCAAAATATTTCCAGATTTAGAAAAAGAAAAAAAAAACAAACTTTTAACAAGTGTATCCCCTTCCCAACTTCAAATCATTGTTGTGTAAAGGTGCTGCAAATAAAAATGAGCTCATGAGTGATCGTTCTTAAATGAAATGAGAAATGAGAAATGCACGTACGCATTTGGGAAGTGTTCTGAAGTTTTATTGTGACGGTGTGGTGACATTGAGTTCCAGGCTTGACATTTCTTCCCTGTGATAGTGAAAGATGCTGTACCACGATAACTCACACCATTGCCTTGGTAGCACTCCTCAGTTGCTTGAGCTTGCTCAGGCTGATCAACAGCTGTAGTGAATAATAGAAAACTGTTAGCATTACACAGAGTGACAGCAATAATACAACTGAGCAGTCACCTCATGTTTCTTGTGACCAAACACAATGACACAGCACTTCCTTACTGCAGATGTCTCCTGTTGTTCTTACCAGGGGTGTCTGGCTCTTTCCCATCACAAGAAGGGATGGTGCAGTATTCCCATCGAGCAGTTGCATTCGTGGTGTAACACCATGGCATCTTTTCACCATCAGGGTTTCTACAATAGTTTTCCTCTAAATTCCTGAAACAGAAAAGTTGTCTGAGAAAAGCCTCTCATGGAAACCTGATAATAGTTATGAACAAGAAGGGAATGTGCCTTGCGTTCTAGTTCACTGTTGCATTTACAGCTGAGTAACTGCTGCTGTCATTTACTGGTTCATTTACTAGATGAATAATTGCAATGCACCAGTGTTTCGGATGTGCTAAATTAGATGTCTGCTAGATGGACATACGACTTCGTGCAGTACTTTGAGGCAGAGAGCAGGAAAGCAGAAACACAAGGTGAAAGAATCCAGCCACAGGCAAATATCATAGTAATAATTTTCTCATTTTACTTTGCTTCACCTGAGCAACGATACAGAAGGATGAACTGAAGAGGGAAAAAGATAAATAAGCAGAGCATGAAAGTCAGAAGAGGAGACGCTCATACCTAAGAAAAACAAACTGAATGAAAAGAGGATAAATGTGTGAAAAATCAACTGAAAAGATGCAGTCCCACAGGTAATGAACTCTGGTGTAACACAGGGACTTTGCACAACAGCTGAAGAAAAATGAAGTGATTCTGTGCCTTGGTACTTCTCGTGGTCACTGAATAGAGGAGAGATTTCACTTACTTGCAGGGATAGTTTTCAGGAGTGCGAGCATGTCTGTGAGGAAACTGAGCACTCCAGTGCTGGCAGGTATTCCCTGATTCAGTAACAGATATCTTGCCTCGATAGTCTTCTCCTCTTCCTGACAGGCACTGACGCCCTGGTGCAGGTACAGGTGGGGGTGTTGCTATTGCAGAAAGAGGAACTGAAATTATATGTGGCCTTCTAAAAATATAAGAAAAACAACAACAACAACAAAGGCAGCAAAGCACTTAAGAGCTTTAGAGTGAGGTAGGAATTTCAGCTTTCTACGGGTAAGGTTTATAGATGAAAACGTTTGGAAAGCCCAAAATGTGGACAAAACTTCTTATCTTTTCTCTCTTCCATTTTAACATTCAGACTCCCAGAAGGGCGTTTGTATCTGCCCCTTTACAGCAGAAAGAAACAACACAACCAATACTAGCAGCCCCATCAGAGCATAGCTGAAAAGTGAGCAAGCAACACTTGTGAAGAAAACTGGGGTGAACATGGCAGGCACATCAGTGAGAGATACAGGTGTTGGTGCAAAAGATGTGTACATAACTTAGTGAGAGTTAAGGACAGCAAGGATGAGGTCTGGTGAGAAGGCTCAGGGGAAAAGTACTGTGGCAAGGACAGGCCCTCAGAGGAAAAGGAAATTGAACTGGAAGAGCAAAAATCCCCCAAAGAACAACCAAAATTTTTTTTTTCAGAATGAATGAAAATGTCATTAAAAAGGGAATCACTGAAAAAGATTGTACTGGAGAAACACATGGAGGAGGAGAGACGTGCTCCAGGAAAAAAAAATAATAATAATAAAAATCCATGACAGAAAATTCTAGTCTCAAAAGAGCCATTAGAGGCTCATTTCAAGGTTATTTTTTCCTCCCTCCCTCCCTCACTCCATTTCTTCCTTCCTTCCTTCCTTCCTTCCTTCCTTCCTTCCTTCCTTCCTTCCTTCCTTCCCTCCTTCCCTCCTTCCCTCCTTCCCTCCTTCCCTCCTTCCCTCCTATGAGATAAAAATCAGCAGTCTTATATTCTTTCTTTTATTTTGGAGGCTTAATCTACCTGTTCTAGTTCTCTGCACTACTCTGAATAAAAGATGTCTACATGTCTTTATGTCTAGAGGCCTAGAAGTCAAACTCACTGCAACGAGGAATGTCACAAAATTCCCAGCGTTTATTTGGGTTGGTAGTGAAACACCAGGGCCGAGGTTCACCATCAGGGTTACGGCAATAATTCATCTTCAGATCCTTCTCTGGAAAACTGAGCAGGAGAAATAGATTTTAAACAAGTCACTAATGGCTGGCTGTGACAATTAACCTGTCTGGGGTGAAATGGTCTTTGGGTCACCATGGTGATAAACAACTCACTTTTCAGGGAGGTATCCATGAGAGTGAGGTTGCTGGGAGTCCCAGCGTTGGCACTCAAGCCCAGATGCTGTTGTTGCAACTACTCCATGATAGTTTTCTCCACTGCAGTGCATGCACTCCACTGTAGGAACAAGTTTAGAATGAAGACAAGAAATAGAGTTTTCATGAGGAACTTGTCTGTAAACATTCACACTCATCTCACTTGAAGTTCTAGAGTCTAATCAGAACGCAAGGCTGAAAGACAATCATTTTTGTCAAAGTTTCTTTTCCTTGATGACTTGAACTAATTGGTTATAGTATTCTATTAAAAATATATGCTATATAGTTTCTAAAAGAGATGAATTTAAACTGCTGATCTATAACTGAAAATCTGTTCCTTCCTCCTGTTGTGTTTTATTGACTTTTGCACTAGCAACCATCATTTGGTTCAATTATAGGATTATGATCTGAGAATACATTGTCATTCTTTTGTCTAGGGAAATTGCTCTTGTGTAGCTGACTTGAGAGATGTATTTCTAGTCAGTGTAAAAAAACCTCTATGCAAAGTTCCAGGCTGAACTAAACTCAAGTTTGGAACAAATTTGGAATGAAAATAAAAATATCTGAATAACTACTCATTTTGAACAAATCTAAACAAGGGGAACAAATTATATATGTATCCTCACCTTCACATTCTGGGATGTTACAGTAATCAAATCTGGTATTAGGATCTGTTGTGTAACACCAGGGTCCTTTTTCATCATTATCAGGATTTCTGCAATAATTTTCCTCCAGCCCTGCTCCAGGGTATTTTTCAGGTGTGTAACTGGAACAGAAGTAAAATGGGATTCAGTTGAGGACCCTAGAAGTGAAATCTCTCTGAGGACCATTTTGAAGATGTCATTCATCAGAAGTCTCCTAATTGCTACTGGGTGCCATAAGTCAAGGGTTAGAAGTGTCAGAGCAGCAGACTTCAAGAAATTTGTTGTCTTTCTGGCCAGTCATGTATTTAATACTAACATTTACTCTAGATGTTCAGTTTCCAGTAATTTTCACTCAGCCAGGTACTTTCATTCACTAAAATGTGACAGTTCTCTGTGAGTAGAATGCTATGCTATGTCAATAGCAGGTTACTAAGTAAACTTGATTGAGTGTTTTTCATTAAATACAATAAATAATGCTCTGTTTATTATCTATGGATTCACTGATGGAATGATGTAATCTGTCTCGTTGGCTTCATATTATATTTTTCAGTCGAGAGAAGATACTCTTGTCCTGAGACTGATGAAAAATTCTTGTTTCACTGCTTCCCTGTCCAGCATTCTGCCCACCTAAGGATCAAAAAAGTTTAATGCGACTGCCAAGACTGAATAAGTCCCTTTGATTGTGCAGTTCCAATTATAATTCAGATTAAAGAAGGATAAGTGTAAGAAATTATTTTATATTAAGAATTTAATGAATTGCTCATAAGACTACTCAGCACATACAGATGGTTTAGCAAAACTTCAGAAAAACATGAGCACAAGTGAAAAGACCATACTTAGGTTTATGGGGTGCAGTATCAGCCCACTTCTGGCATGCCACACCCTTCTGAGTTTTGGCTTCTGTTCCTCTGTAACCGTTCCCTCTACCTTCCTTGCATTCTAGAAGATAAACTGAAATCATACATGCTCGATTAATTGGTATCATCACATATCCTTTGGAATTTAGCATATAAAACATTTTTTCTTTAAAGTTAATTGTGTTGTGAATGAGATTTAATTAATTCATGATAGTATGCTGAAACAATGACTCTGCAAGATAAAGACAAGTTATAATGGTTGAAAAGTTATATTATACATGCCTTTCTATTCTTAGCTTTTGAAACTTAGTAGTCCCTTCATGGAATAAAAATAAAATAAAATAAAAATAAAATAAAATAAAAATAAAATAAAATAAAATAAAATAAAATAAAATAAAATAAAATAAAATAAAATAAAATAAAATAAAAGGAAGGGAAAAGGAAAAGAAGAAAAAGGAAAAGGAAAAGGGGAAGAGGGAGAAATGAAGGGAGAGGGAAAGGTAGGAGAGGATATGGTTCAGCAGCAATACTGGCTTGAAGTATTCCTGACAATCCACAGCATCTTCTTTTCCCAAGGATTCATCACATTGCCTTCACAGCTGCAGTAGTGCAACTGTTGGCATGGATATGATGTGAAAAAGACCTAATTTGAAAGAAAACTTTCAAAAAAGTCTCATATTGTTTATCAAAAATATAGCCTCAGTGAGGCTATAGGAAAAAAATGCAAAACAGTGAGTGAGGAATATCAGGCATCCATAGCCAAAGAAAATCAGCAAAACTTCAAACCCACATTCATTTGTCCTAACACAGATTAGTACACTATTTTTCCAAAGAGCACTCTTTGTGGGACCCCTCACTGCAAAAGGAATGTATCAAAAAATACATCACAGTAAGTATCTGTTTCAAGTCTGGTCTACAGTGCCAACTCAAGCAGTCTCAAGCTGCATTCACCATCTCTAAGCTGAGAATCACATCAACTTTGTTCACTTGTCAAACAGACAGTAAAAGTTAAATGGTAAAATCTATTCATAACCCCCCTCAAGTCCAAACTCAATGGCCGAAATGTTACCGAATCTTTCTTAGTGTTATACCTTTTGTGTTTATTAGCAGATGAAAAAATTATTTTTGTTAGTCCCTTATCTGGTCAGTTAAGGAAGGCTTTTTTTTTCCTAAAAACTCTAGATTGAATTGACAGAATAACTAAGTTCATTTTTTTTCAATAACTTCAGCATTCTTCTCTCCTCCATTCAACATTTTTAATGCACATGGTGTAGTTCATCAACCAGTTCCTCTCTTCTAGCAGAAATAAAGCAATCTCTCTTTTAGGTTGTGACCTGGTTTGTCTCAGTGTCTTTATGCAATGTCCAAACATGATATTTTTGGAGACCCAGTTATGCATCGGATTTTTTCAGTATCTGTTATAGCTAAGGCGATGTACGAGAACAAGATTAACATAAATCTGCAGGAATAATGTCAATTTACACAAATCTACCTTGACAAAAATGAAAAGAATGAATGCATGAATCTGAAAATAGATCCATATATTCTGTGTGCTGGTGGGTATTTTAGAACTGGATTTATGGGTCTTACCTTCATTTTGATAAGCATGCATGGACAAGTTTTTTCTAAAAGCTTCAACAGAAATCCCCCAGACAGTTTTGCAATAAATTAACATTAAAACCTAAATAATTGAATCTGTTAAGTGCTGATTTTTTTCTGTTTGTGCAAACATTTGATCATTGCATTGTCCCTTTGGGTTAACTATTTACAAACTGGAACGTGGAGACCAAATTGTAAAAGCCAGTTTTAATTCTTACTGCTTTTTCAATAACCCAGATAATTTTAACTTTCTATATTATACCATATGTGGTAAGAAAAATAATTCTGAAAGTTGTAAATTTTGTTCGAAATGCCATACTTTTCTTTGAAAGCAATAGTAAAGACCAATTGGGTCTCATATAGCAACTGTTTTCACTCAAAAAAAAAAAAAAAAAAAAAAAAAAGTGAAAAAATTCAGGTTTCATCAATAGTGGTGTGAAAACAGCTGGACATGTGATTGGAATTTCATTGAAATGCAGCAGCTCCTAGGAACAGTGATATGATCCATCTAGGTGAAAACTACATTTTGCTTTGTTTCTGTCACAGTATATTAAAATTATATTGTCATCAGAATGAGAGTGTATGGGAACTATTGAGTCACAGCCTGAACCACTGACTGAGCACCTGGGGAAAGAACCTGATCAGCCCTGGAAGCACAGATGAAGTCAATTCATCTGTGTGATTGGAAGAGCATCCCTCTTAGTCCTCATCTAAGGGCTGACTGGCACTGGGGAAGAATCTCTTGCTGAAGATCCCTCCTTGGTGGAGTTTTCCACTATGAACCTGGTATTTTCTGATATGGGTGAGCAATCTTCTTCCCTTCATTTATAGCATCTTGTTGTCATGCTGGTCCTTCTGTCATTGCACCTCTTCTGGTGCCTTTCCTATTGTACTGATCTGCTCAATTGCTATGGGGACCATAACTATTTAAAATCCCCTGTAATGAAGGGCTATGCAACTACTTGACACAATTACTCTCAGCTACTTTTATGTGTTAGCTAAGACCTCAAAGTTATCCAAGATTATATCCAAAATGATAGTAGCTCTGGGAGTGAAACAGTAAAAACTGAAGTACTGATTGACGTGAAAGTCAGAGGAAAAAATCCTGCATCTTCTCAAGGATTATATGAATAAGAAAGATTGTGTAAGTGAAAAGGGTTATATAAGGAAGAAAATTTACAGAGAATTGTGACAAACATTAGCTTGAAATTGTAACTCAGAGGTATCGGTCCAGTTCCCTATTCAGGTTCTGGATAGTCCCACATCTGAGCTGGATGGGGTGGGTGCTCCACAGCATCTCTTGTTAGTGTGGTTCAGTGCCTACCCATCCTTCTTTGAAAGATTCTTTTTCTTATATCCTCCATAATGTCTGAACAAAATCTCATTTGAATGCTTAGCTGTGATTCAGCTAAAGCTAATAAATTACTAGGAAATCAGATATACTTTTCTCAAAAAGTCCTCATTCATGGCAGAACTGACTGGAAACAAAGCATATGCAAAAAGGGAATCCAAAATACTACCACATCAATTAATTATATCATAAAAACATACATTAGGATAAAAAGCTTCACCGAATTAATTAAATGAAGAGTGCAAACATCATTTAAAACATACAAATATGAGCAAAAGCACCTTTTTTTTTTTTTTCTGGAATGTGGTTAACACTCTAATTCTAACAATGCATGAAACTAAAAAAAAAAAAAATATTGATTTGATTGCTCCCCAGGGTAAGCAATAAATCTTGTTTAGAGATGCACGTAAAATCTTTGCTAGTTTTCATCAGTTTTCCACTGGAAAAGGGCCTATCTCAGGATCTACAGTCTGTACAAGTAGCTTTTCCTACTACTCTCAGCAAAAACAAAGAAGATAGAGCTGTAGGTTACTGGCTGGTTTAAAAAGAGAGGTAGATCAGGGACACTTAAGCACCTTCTTTACTCCCAGCACTATCTGTGCTCTCGCAGCAATAGTTTTTTGAGCCTTGTGGATACCCAGAATTTAGGGAGCAGGAAGGATGCTGGAGCACTGATCTGGGGAAAAAAAAGCTGGTACCGCATTTCCAGCAATATCAGAGAAGGGCTGTTCTAACCACTTTGTGTGACCTGGTGATGACATGGCCCCAGCTACAACAATGTTATGGTAGTCTTTCTCAAAAGGATATCTTGGTGAAATAATATCAATGTGTAAACGTACTTCTTTTTTCATAAAGAACTGCGTTTGTTCTTCTGAATAGCACTGCTGTTTTGGTGTTCTCAGCCAATGTTATACACTGCTGGTCTTTACTGGTGAATAAGAAGGCCCTGTTAAAATTAAGAGAAAGCAAGGTAAGAAACAGTAGAAGAATATGTGCATTATTTTCCTGAAGACTGTTTCTAGCATTAAGTTATCATTGTAGAAATGCTGTGCTTTGGCAAGGTTTAAGATTCAGAAGCACTTTGCAAAGCCCTGAATGTTCCTTCTCCCATTTTCAGTGCTGATGTTATGTCTTAAGTCTTCATCTCAAAGTTAGGTTGAAAGTGAGCCATACGAGGAGACTATGACATGGGTTGAAAAAGGAGCATTTATAATGTGTCAGAGAATATGTTGAAGAGGGTACATGCAAAAATGTTACTGATCATTCAAGAAGCAGGATATTTTACAGTATTCAGCAGTTACCAAGGCACAGATAAAATTCAACAAGCCAGCATCATAAATTACTTTTTGATAACTGTTTTAAGTCACCGTTACTTGAGGCAATGTAAGCACTTTGAATAGCACACTTGTTTGTCTTTTTAGCAAGGGTGTAGGCTGGAAGTCTGAAAAATGAGAGCAGTTGGTGTAACCTTTACAGAGGTACCTAAGGAAAACTCTTGGTAGGCTAAGTAATTGCTGTTGTTGACTTTTCTGACTCAACAAAGAGCAGCAGCAATGTGGCATTGAGCAGTCAGGTCTGCACCAGTGGGCAAAACACATGAAACAACCACCACCCTGCCTTAAATAAAGGCCCGACAAGTGCTGGAATGAGCCCTGCAGATCCTCAGCATTCTGAGTTCAGAAAGGGATCCTGCAGAAGTGGTAGATCCAGGACTCATGGTCTCCCTGCCTCATACAAGAGGACAGCCTCGCACTGCAGTCACTGTTCTCCCTCCTCATTACTCCAGTTATCTGCTTTACAGCTGAGGTTTCAAGGAGCTCCTGAGGCTTAGATGTGGAAGGCTTGGAAGCCTGAAGCTCAGAGGATTAGGCTCTTCTTAGACAGCATCCTTGATCAGCCAGTGGTATAGACTGATTAACATCCTTCATGGTTCATGTTTCCTGTCCATCAGTATCTCATTAAATGCAAGTGCAGAGGGACTGCTTGGGTGGAAATAGGGCACAGGTTTAGATGGCTGTCTTTTTCTCAAGGTAAATAGAACATACACAAGTCTGAATTCTAGTAAAATTCAGAATAATTAATGTGTCTTCAGGATAATAGGTAAGGCATAAGTATGTAATTATTGCTGTTCTAAATTTTCAAGAATTACTCACGAGTCTTTATTGTGAAAAGTGCCCTGATAAAACCATGTCACCTTGGTTTTCTGTGTGCCAAACTGTGCATCAAGAGATAACATTTTCCAATGAAAAATCCAATATAGTTTTCTTATTTTTTTTCTACTTCTGCTTGTTTTCATCTATGTCTCTCAGGCACTGACTTTTTGTATCTCTGTAGTTTTTCCAACAGACTGCAGAAGCATATACTCCTAAGAAATCCCTCTAAAGTCCAGTCAATAAATAAGACTGACTACTCCATGATCTGTACATCTATGACTCCATCTGAAATACATATACAGGAAACAGCAGAAGAAATTACCTGCAAGGAAATTTAGTTTCAGTTTCACATTGCTCTGCACATTCTTCTTTACTACTTGTCTTATAAGTTTGCTTCATTGAGTTAAGCACCCAAGCTCCCTCTGTCCTCACATAGCTGTCTAGTATGCTTCCTTGCACTAAAAGGAAAAAGAGAGAAAGTGATAAGAATGTGAATGCTGACATAGTTAATTTCAAAACTTTCATATTAAATCCTTTGACACCTAGTTCAGAAACATTAATTACAGTAATAAATCAGTTAGTAGCTACAGAAAGATTTTCTTGTCTGGTCTGTTAAATAGTAGTGTCACTAAAAACCCATGGCAAGCAGGGCTTGATTTGAACAGTGCTTTGGTGGTGCTGAAAGGCATTGCAAATGTCACAGACCTGGTGTATAAGGTGATGGGAATAAAGAAAAAAAGGAAGTGACATGTTTTCTGTGACAGCAAGAACGTTTGATTTTTTTTTTTTTTATTTTTTTATTTCCCCATAATTTGGAGAAAGTGGAGGAATGAAACCCAGGAAATATATGAAACAACTGTTGATTGCTGATACCTGTCCACAAAAAAAAAAAAAAAAAGGAAAACATTTCAGTTTTATCATTACATAGTTACATTGTAGATGGCTTTTTTTTTCTTTCTTTCTTTTTTTTTTTTTTTTCAAATGCTCTTGTGAGAAGCAAACCATTTTCTGCCACTGTGGTTTTCACTGTGGTCATTGTCAGTTTATCTGGACTTCATATTTGCTTAATAATCAAGGTAACAGACGTCTTTCTTTATTGCAGTGAATTGACACCAGAGAATGAACTGGTAAATAACTTAATCATACAGCCCCTGAGCTATAGCTGCATGTGACATATATGTGATGTTAAAAAATATGCCTATGTTAATCAATAAACATTAAAAAAAAAAAAAGTGCTCATGTACAATCCTCTTGAAAAGAAGTTTGCCATTTGGTGTTTTTTTTCTCCTCTTACAGCAATGTTATTTCTGAATGCTTAGGTACAGATCATAGAACCATGACTTTCATGATTTCTGGCAGCAGTGTCACAGTGTTGCAAGAGTCCTGTGATTTTTTTACAGTTTCTTTATCCGAGGAGCATATGACTTTACTGATAAACATCTGGCTCTGGGATTTGTCCGTTCTCCTTTATTTCAACCTCAAACAGGCAAGTGACTCGTGGTCTTTGCAACACATCCTAGTCCTGCTCTGTGCACTGTTTTGTGTTCTGATTTCAGCAGTTGCTGAATAAAAGGCATGCAGGGTGTGAATCATGCATACCTCAGCTTCCCGCTCGTGTGGCAAACACGCTAAGGAGGTCTGTCTTCATCTTCTTGGACTCTTTTTTTTTCTGAGCCATTGCCCAATGGCAGCAGAAAGAAGGCAGCCTGATTTTGCTCTAGCCTACAGCCTTGAGTAGGGAACTTCCAATTATTTTTTTAAACTGAGGAAATGTCTTTTAGGCAACTATTTCTCCCTTTTCTGAGCAGAACCTCTATAGTGTGAAACAGAGTCACATATCTCTTGGTACAGCTAAATGCCTTCACCTGAGTGCTAGTTCAGGCTGCAGTTGACTAGCCAACCTAGGGAACCTGCTGTAACAGAGGGTTGGATTAGATGGTCTCCAGAGATCACTTTCAACACCTGTGACTCTGTGATTGTCCTTTATGATCATTTTACATCTACAATGGATAGCTGACAATTGGACCCAAGAGCCAGACTATACTTCATAGAATCATTGAATGACTTAAGTTGGAATAGACCTTAAAGATCGTCTAGCTCTGACAAACAGCTTCCTCTCATACCACTGCAAACTCAGAAAGGTTATTGAATGTCTTTTTTTCTGTATGTGTGCTACTGAAGATACTTAAGGGTTGACTAACATTATGCATTAAAGAAAAGCATGATTAAAAGTAAAATGAAGGTAAAGTGGAAAACGATACAATAAAATTCATGTGTCAGGCTCGCTTGTTACCCTAGATATTTCAAACCAACAATGACATTAAGATGTAGCCAGGCGAGAAAAAAAAAAAAAAAATCTAACTGGGTTTTAAAAAGTCATATGTTGCAAGGCTCCCCATAAGGACAAGATATTCAAGAATTCCAACTATAGTGTAGCTTCCCTGCAACATTAATTTTGCCATATTTTGACATCTTGACATAATATTATAATTATGGTGTTATTTTAAAAAATATTGATTGGGTCATAACTTTCTGTTATAATTACATGGCAGGGTATAGTGCTTTAAGAAAGCAATAGCATACACGCAATTAGAATAGAAATGTGATACATTTTCTTGCTCCCCTTTTTCCACTGTCTATGGAGTTTTTCATTGTTAAAATGAAATTTTACTGCTTTTTTCAGAAATGCAAATATTTACAGCAAATTGGATTTGCAAGCAAAAGCAGAGTATTGCAGACAGAAGTCCAAGTGCTATTTTTTTCCTCCTTTGTATACGTTCCTAATTAATTGAGAGGCCTCTTTGATCTGAGTGAGGCTGTTCTGCAAAAACATAGCTTAGAAATCGGAATTTAAATGAATGTTCATTTTTAGCAAGTTCTTGATATTATGTAATGTTAGGTCGGGGCTTGTCTATAATATTTCTAGTTGCTAAAATCAACTAATATATTTTTCTGTGACCTATTGTATATTTTCCATTTACATAAGAAAAATGTTACTGTATTTTATTGCTTTTTTTTTTTTTTTTTTTTTTTTTTTTTGCATATATACTGGCACACTTGGGAGTATATTTTAGTAGCATTTATTGCATACTGTGTAGTTATAGATAATACCTGAAATAAGATAAGCCATGAATCACATCATTGATTGAAGCTCCCTATCCCATAGACTAAAAAATTTCCTGTTAAGGCTGTGGCAGTGAAAAAGACTGAAACTACAGTGTGTGAAGGAACTTTCCTCCACCTCACTTTATTTTTGTGTGTGTGATTCTACTTTTACTGTACTTAACAAAAAAATCAAAATGTATATCACAGTACTCATCAATTACAGAGGGGGGAAAAAACCAACCAATGATCTTAGGATAAAAGCCAGCTGAAACCAGAGATACTCATGTCTTTTTAGCAGCCTACTTGTTTAATGTGTCCCCATTTCTAGCCTTTTGGCATATTGGCAAGTGCTGGCCATTTGGTAGCCATGCAGAAACCAAGCGTAATGTTTTTCTAGTGTCTGTAGCAAACACCATAGCAATCACAGCTCTAACTTTGTTCTCCAGCAACTCTTGCCCATTGTCCGTGTAACTGGTGACATGTGGATTTGGTGACCCACTTGCACAACATGAAACTTTCAAGTGTTGACCCCTATCTCTCCCACACAAGAAGAAAAGAGACTCTTACCTGAGCTGAGCAAGAAAAGAAGGAGCAAAGTAGCTTTGCTAATTCCCATTTTGGCCCAGCTGGCAGACACTGGAAGTTGTCTGTCCGTACAAAAGTTTTTATTGACTTGCAGTGGGTTGAAGAGGCATCAAACAAACAGGGCAGGTAGGTTAAGTTAATGATTCTCCCACACTGTGATCCCCCTTTGCCACGGAGTGGTACAATGTTCAAACAACCTTGAATTGGATATATTACCAAATCAGATTCAGTCATTTGTACTGGATGCTGGGAAATGTGAAGGCACTCTCTCCTATTCTGTGGGGCGTGTTTTTGTTCTTATGTTGTTAGGTTTCTCTTTGCTAGAGAATAAACAAGAACAATGTTGCTGGAAAGCATAGGAAATTATTTGTCCAGAATTCGTCTTTCTACCAGTACTAGAATCTCAATGCTAATTTTAGCCATTCACACTTGTACTGATGTATGAAGACCACCTTCCATTTAATCTCAGGAAAAGCACTCTTATCAGATCCAGATAATCTTATCAGATTCAGTTAGCCCTGACAGATAGTTTAATTTTACTTTAGGATTTTCTTTTCTTTTTCTTTCTTTTCTTTGTTGTTAATTTAGGAGTAAGAGTTCATCTTGGTTCAGTGGTGAATGTTATTACTTTTTGTTTAAGATCTGTGAATAGCTATTTTTCTTTCCCAGACATTTAACCTCACAGTGTGTGCTTAAACTCATCCTGTGAGGTTGCCAGACTTTGTTCATCTATATATTATCCTGATTTCAACATCAGTCCCACTCTGCATTCCCCGGGTGGCCTTTGCCTTGGAAAAGTTGCACTGCAGCACCATTTAATGGTTTCTCGTGCATGTTAGGTCACTGGTGTAGCTTCAAAACGGCTTAAATCAAATATGCGAGTGACTTGCCTGAGGCAGGGAGGAGTTGAATGCTGGATGAGGAAAACAGGCTTGAATGGACTGTCCTGGGTCGTGAAGTTCAGGCTTCTGCAACTGAAGGCAAAAAGTTCATAGAATTATGAGTTCCGTCTAAAAAACAGTTAGGCTATCTACGACCTTGTCTCACCTAATCTAAGTCAAAACTGCATTGTACTGAGGTCTTGGGATAAGGCTACGAGTGAAGAAGTTTTTTTAAATAAAAAAAAAAAGTACTCTAGGGTACAATTCTCTCAGTTTCATTGTCATAAATCTGCTTAACATGCATCTAGTTCAGCTGCTCCTGAGAAAATAAAACTTGGATTTACATTCCTTTCAGATATGATAATCCAGGTTTGTGGAAATATAATCTCTCCCAACAGATTTGATCATGGAAAATTGATCATGGAGCTACTGTCAGCAATCAATTCTGGTATAAGAGTGAGTTCTCAACATGAAAACATGAAAATGTCAAAATGGGAGAAGTGTTTCATCTCCCAGAATGATGCTCCTCACTGCTGTTTTGTAACAAAGATGTGACCTCTCATGGCATTGTGTTTGAAACGCACTCTTGTAATCTGTTGATTTATCTGTCTACTTCTGTCTTCCTCCTTTTCTCTCTTTTTCTTGTGAGATCCATGTGTTCTCTAAATCTTTTCCCAGTTTTGATTCTGTAGTGTTTGTTCTCGCTTATTTGACCTCTGTGAGGCCCACAGAGGTGGGTCTTGTGTGGAAGTTTATCAGATCTCATTTCAGAGTCAGGGTACTTTCGTTAGCATAGTGGTTAAAATGTAAACAATGGTAGAAGGCTTTTTAAATAGAAGTTGACCCTTGAAATTGGGTTTACTGTAAGCTCAGAAAATCTCCTGCAAATGAATTTGCAAACATTGTCAGAACATGGGCTACAATGTATTAAATTCATATAGACCTAGTGTTCCTAACTATCAGAATAAGGAAAAGACAGAAAACAGTCATTTAGATGTCAATTACTTGAGAAAGGATCAAAGGGAAGATTCAATTTTTTGGAGGGAAATTCTCAAAAGGCAGCTCTAAGGAAGGACACATCTGTTAGATTAGGGTGAGTGTGAGCTAAAGCTCTTATTTGAGCTCTGGAGAGTAATAGTACGTCATAGATACATGGCCAGCTGGGAAATAGAAGAAGATATTCTTACTTTTCGTAGAAAAGCAGAACATAATTGAGAGATACATTGCCCTGAGTAACAGAGCCACAGAGCATTTTGTGCAGCAAACTCAGAGGAAAATGTAGATGATTTCTAAAGGCAGAAGCTGCCAGGAGCAGGAAGAGAAGTTCTTCAGGAAAGAAGGAGGCAGCCACTTTAAAAGCAAATTCCATCCTTGCTCTAGACACACACACACACAGAGTGCAGAATCCCTTGTGGATGAGCTCATCTCCATCACTTCTGCTTAAGCTTTGTTTGCTGTTACTGGGAGTCCTTGCGTGAGGGTTAGGACTGATTGAAAATGAAATGTGTAACAGAAAATGGAGGAAAAACCATGAGTATAATTCAGAAAATTTGGTAAAGTCAAGAAACAAATTTTGCATATAACCCAACAATTGCTTAAGTTCCTCCAAATACCCCTGCAAGTATCTACTATTTGTAAGGTTTACTTTTGCTATTTTTCTATGGACTTACACATTTATATTGTGTCATTATATTATACAATGATTCCTGAAGCAGTGTGTTGTTTACTGGTGATTTCAGTGTCTGAGAACTAGTGATAAAATTAGCTGTTTAGAAATGTCACTGAAAGAGAATGAACATTTATAACTCCTTGCTCCTATGTCAGTCTCAGAAGTGAGAGACAAGCCATCTCCATTGTCCAAACAATATGTATATTGAAATTGTCAGTAGTTTCTAGTTGTCACTTACATGTAGTATAATTTCCATGCTTGTTCTTGACTCATTAACTTGCATAAAGGAAAGATGTTCTCACCAGTTTAATCTAGATAAAATGAAATGCTAAAAGGGCAAAGCAGCAAATGATGTTGTCATATTGCACTTAAGGCTGTGCTGGATGGGATCAGTTCAAGTCACTTGAGTCAAAGAGACTTTTAATGGTGTTTTAGTAGAGTAAGAATATCAACTTTAGAATTAATTTAATGTTTTGAATAGAAAAGTGAGATTTTGTGTGTCTGCATATGTGCGTATCTGAACATTTGTGTTTATCTGCATATATGTTTGAGAGAAACTGATATTTTTTTGTCTGGAGTATTTACAGTGACACTTCCACATTCATTGTCCAAGGTTGTGCTTTTCACAGATTCATAGAATAACTCAGGTTGGTGGGGACCTTGGGACCTATATCCCAACCAACTTGTTTCAAGAAAGGTCGACAATGAAATTAGGTTATGTTTCATCAGCTTACTATTTAGACCCTATCATTTAACAAAATGAAAAATGTCATTCATAAGAATCTTATACTCTGTACCTGTAAAGATCTGAAGTCATTTACTGAAGTTTAGATGTATTATCTAGCAATTAATACCCAATGTTCTGCTAAACCATCATTGCACAGCTACATTCCAGTGCCTAAAACTAGCAATAATATCTGTGTTTATAAATAGTTTGTGATGGTTCCAGTTTAATACATATTGTGCAAATGATAAAAGGTTTTGTATACTTCTATCAGATGAAAGAGACCAAAACAATGAAAAAAGATTTTGTAGTATGCATGCATTTGCTGGGAGCAACACTGAAATTTTTTAATTTTTTTTCCCCAGACTCCTCAACTAAGATCAGGGAGTTTTTGCACTAGAAATCCTGGAAAATGTGCTGACCAGCTTTGTCATTTCCAATTATATTTTATCTCAAATTTCTGAAAGATATGCCACTTCTACATGCCATGTGTCCAAAAGACTGTAACATATCTGTATGGGAACTGTTGAGGCAGCCTGAACCACTGATTGAGCATCAGGGGAAAGGACCCGGTCAGCCCTGAGAGTACAGGTGAAAGCAATTCAGCTGTGTGGCCAGAAGGAGTGGAGCTTTACTGCACCTCTCTTAGACCTCATTTAAGGGCTGACTGCTACTGGGGAGTCTTTCCTGCAAGCCTAGATCTTTGGAGATGGGTGAGCACTTTTCTTTTTGTAACACTTTCTGTCTTGTAGTCCCTTTGTCATTATACCTCCTGTATCACCGTTCCACCACATTGATCTTTCTAATTGCTACAACATCATATTCTCTTTTTGGCAAAGAGAGCATGAAAACATCCTGTAGAGGTATATACTAATCGCTTCCTTGGATTTCTGGAAAGAAACCCTATTTCCAAATGTAATTAAAATTGTCATATTTGTAGGGTGTTTAGGGAGAACTATCCTGACTGTCAACCCGTATTTATCCAAATAGTATTAAGAAGTACTCTGATGAGAGCTTCCATGTAAAATGGTCTTGAAATCAAGAAAGATTGCCTTTGGTTTATTCAAAACAGTAGTGTTGTTGGGTTCAAATGGAGTATGTACATGTGTGTTGCAGTGATCTGCAAATTACAGGCAGTTGGTACAAAACCTCTGCAAGCAATTGTATTGCTTAGGGAGGCAGACCATCAGGAGGCCCAGCATATACCAATACAGGTATAAAATACCTCAGATGTCCATTAGGCAATGCCTACTACTACTGAGGAATGTCTTACAGGCACCAAGAGAAACAGGAACAATTTATACCGAGTTATTACTGAGGATTTGTGCCAATGTTCTTTGAAAGACTAGCACTACTGGCAGAAAAACAACAATGCATAGGAAATCGACAAAACATGCCAGACAGTAGCAAGCCTTTCATGCATTCAAGGAAGAACTGCACTCAGCAGGTTCTGAAAGTAGGCAAGTTTTCTGAGCCCATTTTAAACATTCACCACAAAAAACACTGTAGAGACTATTACAAGGGGAAAGCTATGTAGGGAAGTGCTAAGAACTATAGTTACATATCCAATGCAACACACTCTCTAGTTTAATGACAGCAAACTGAACTCTTTCTGTGGCATGCTTTGTTTTGGTTCAACACAAGGTTGTTTAGTGATAGTCATTTTTTTCCATGTATACATATATCCTAGGAAATTGAAATGGTTGCATGGCATAATTCAAAGCTTATCCTGGCTGGTGAGAGTGGGGGGAATTAGC